TTTGTTCGTTTTTGTTTTTGTGTGTCGTTTTTTTTTTGTGTCACTGATACGTCTTTTTTTTCCTTTTCACTCCCTCCACTCGCTGGCCCCAAATATGCATGCAGTCCACGTCGCCACGAGCCGTATTTCCTCCTCTCGGATGAGCAAAACAAGTACGTGGCTTGGCAGCACACACGCAAGTTGTTGAGAAGGGAACCCAAAACAAAAAAACGCAACGCGGGACAAAAAACAAAGGTATAAAGAAGAACACACATGCAGCACATAAAAACGCTCGCAGTATCTTTTCCTCATCGTCCCCCCACCCATCCGCAGAATACGTGCAGAGAGTGCGGGGAATGCAAACGACTGAGCTCAGTTTGCGTGAGAAATGAGACTTGGGGACCCGTCTCATCGCACGAATATGCTCCAAATAAAAAAAAAGAAATATAAAGTAGTAACAGAAAAAAAAGAAAAATCCGAAAACTGCTGCAAGGCACAAGTACATGTTTTTTCATCACATAAAATAATCAGAAAACATTAAGCTACGGTTTCTGTTTCCCTTCCCTACATTGCAGCTTGACAATAACAAAAAAAAAAAAAGATGCAGCCAAATAATTTAAAAAAAAAAAACGTTTGGCTCGAAAAAACAAAAGCGAAATTGAAAGTAGACCCCACAAAGCCACCTAACATCAGCCAGTAAATATGAAGCAAACGCAGAGAGGTCATCGTGCAATAGGGAGTCAACGACGAAATAACAATTTGAGAAGTCGTCCAACACCTCTTGTGTTTTCAAGTTCCTTTGCTTCGCTCAAGTGCATCTTACACTCCAAAATCTCCATTGCTGCCGTCCGCATCGATTCCTCGAGCACCTTCTCCTTCACACTTTTTTCTCGCGTGAGCCGAGACAGAGCTTCCGAGGCATACATCTCCTTTTCCTGTGCCTCCTTGCAGCGCTGTTGAACGCGACGCATGACATCGGAGTCCCTCTCACGTTCATCCTGCATGGACCGGAGCACCTGTGTCAAACGTTTCTTTTCTTCCGCTTCCAAGAGAAGTTGCTGTTCAAGGTCATTTTGAACCCTTATTTGATCCTCCATCTCAAGTCTCTCTTGCTCAATCAATTCCTTATAGGAGTCGGGTAGTTGACAACAAGGTATGATACCCAAACGTTCCAACTGGTTCTTCAGGCGAATGCAGACTTTGGCCACAAACTGCATCTTGGACGCATGTCCAATAACGAGTTCATCCTTGAGTTGGAGCTCCTGATCCTTTTCCTCAAGAAGTGCCTCCATCCCAACAGAATTCTTACCATCTCGTTCTATGAGATGAAGAGCCATTTTTCTCTCACTCTCACGTAGTGCCCGTAGTATGTTCATATAGTCGTCCATCGCAATAGAGTCCACCGGCGAAGGGATGCTCTGCAATTCTGGACGCGGCAGTTCTGCCGAATCAATCAACTGTTGAAGAATGTTTATCACGTGTTGGTAACGTTCATCGTTGGCCCGGGCAGTTGTCAACAGGTACTGTTGACGCTCAATTACCTCCATGATTTCGTCCACCTCCGCATCTTTCACTTTAAGTAGTACATCAAGATCGGCATCGGGCGTTACCCCTGGCACAGAGGAAATCGCAAGAGAAGGCGCAGGTGGCAGAGCAGAAGCACCCAACTTTATTGGGGGTACATACGGTTGCGAAACGACCAAACCATTAGCCGTCATTTCTTCTTCCAGCTTCCGAATGCGTTCCTGCAGAGAATTTTTTTCCTGTATACTGAACGTCAATTGATCGGACAACTGTTTTACTGCTTTTTTTGAGGCATCTGCTTGGGACGCGAGTTCTGCCGTCCTCGTCTCGTCAGCTGACAAGAAATACTGACGTAGTTGACTGGCGCCACGCCCCGAGGCCAGGGGAGGAGCAAGCGGGGGAATTCCCAGCCCCGGGCCTCCAGAGCTACGCGCCGTGCCCCCAGAGCCACGCGCCGTGCCAAAGATGCGTGCAGTCATTGGAAGAGATTGCTGCGCACGCTCTTCTTTGAGGCGTTCCACCTCTCTCGTCAGTTCCGCATTTTGAGCCCTCGATTCATCCAAGTCAGCTTGCATAGTGACACGAAGCGTTTCCATTTCACTGCTGTCAACCATCCTGGCGCGTCTCTCACGCAAAAACTTTGTTACGTCATCGGTTTCAGAGAGCTCAACACCACTCTTGGTAAGGTACTGACGCAGTTGCGTATTCTCATCGTGTAACTTGTTGATTTCCTCTACACGATCAGAAGAAATCTTTGAAAGTCGCTCAACCTCGGCATACAGCTGAGCTTCCTTCTCACGGTGCCACTCCAACTCAGCCCCCAGCTGCTGTTGGATTTCCTCAACCTGGCCAACATCAATGAAGGTCTCTGGGAAGACGGCCTCCTCGACTGGTGTCCCACCCATCTCCTTGATCTGTTCCGTCAAAACCTCAATATGTTCATGAAGCCTGGCGGTGTCGTTAGCTCGACTGGCCAGTAGCGAGTCCTTTTCAGTCAGCTGACGCAAGACATCAACGATGTCTTCATTCTTCCCCTGCCGTGCATCGTCAAGTTTTTTCTGGAAGTCCTCAATGATGCGCTCTTGCGCCAACTTCATCTCAGCCCGGCGCTTCGCCTCCTGTTCCGCCTGTTGACGAACAAGTTTCGTAATTTCCTTCGAGTGCACCTCCTCCTTATACTTAATCTCTTCATCCCGCTGCTCGTGAAGGTTCTCAACCTCCACCTTGTACACCTCGTTCAGGTACTGTATCTGCTCCGGGGATGCGTTCTTTGCCACCAACTTCGCCATATCCTTCTCATATCGCAAATCAAGCTCCGCTCGCTGTTCGTTGTACCGCTCCATTAGCTCCGCCCGCTCAGCGTCGCGTCCAGCAATCTGTACCTCAAGCAAAGCGATCTGCTCTTCCTTCTCATCCAGCAATGTCTGCAGATTGCGAGCCAGCTTTTCATAGTTCACCACAATGGATTTCTTGGCTGACACCTTCACCGACATTGCACGCAGGCCAAATTGGAGGGTGTTGGTGGTCTCATAAAGATGATCAGTGCTTGGTCCAACAGTAAGAATAATGGAGGTGCGACTTCTACCACCGATGGAGTCCTGCAAAATACGAGTGAGCTTTGAGTCTCGCCACGGAATATGTTGATAACCAGAAGACAAGGCCGTGACAACGTGCCCCAAAGCCAACAGGGAAGCATTAATGCATTTTGCTTCATCCTTCATGATTGGGTTGTCGCTGGTGATACCGGTCTTACTAAAGCGCTCGTAACCCGCCAAGTCAATAAACGTAATTTTACCCCGCATTTTACCCCCCGCAGGGTCATCGGGGTCCTCAGAAGAAATATTAATCATCAGCGCGGTGTGTCCACGGCTCGACTCCGGGTTCATTGCTGTTGCCGTCACAACACGGCGCTCGTTTCCGGTGCGGTAAAATTGCATAAACTCCTGCGGAGTGGAGAGAACACGGGAGGTGCACCCCATAAATACAATGCCCTCGTCATCATCAAATCGAACCTCCACCCGCTCTTTGCCTGAACTCACCATCAAATCACCGAGGTTGTCGCGGTATATCTGCACAAATCGCCCGACAATTTCGTAGTTACGTCCTGAAGAAGCTTCTAGCTTCTCAAAAATATATCGTGCCGCCCGAGGGATAATTCCCTCATTGCCAGGGGTTGTGTTGCACATAGTAAAAGACTTTCCTGTACCTGTCTGGCCATAACACATCAGTGCCGAACAAAAACCATTAAACGCGTGTTCAATACACGGCACGGCGACAGAGTCGAAGATCTGCTCCTGTGTGCTGTCCTGATCAAATGTTCCGTCAAAAGCGTATCGACGCTCGCCCTTCAAAGCAATGTCTTTGCCCTCCACTGATACCAAATTTGATCCTCCGCCCCGAAAATCGGTTTTGTTCGCTGGGCGCAATCTGCAGTAGACAAGGCACCGATTCAGGTTCTGAGTCGGTTCCTCGGTGGATTTATCCAGTCCCTTTTTGGGTTCCTTCACATCATCCGCCTTTAGTGGTTTGAGCGAATCCGCGGCTTGTTCGATGGTGTCCTCAACCGGGGCCGCCACATCACTCTGATCGGCCATTTCTGAAAGTAAAACAGAAACAACAAGTTTAAGTTATCTTCTTGCCGTTGCTCTTGTTTCACTCTGAGCTCAACTTGCACGCTGTCACTTTTTTCTGTTATGCTTTCTGTATACGTTTAACTGTGCGTATATCTGCCTGTCTGTCTGTCGGTCTGTCTGTTTGTGTGTGTGTAGTGAACGCAAGCGTAACAAGAATCTAACCCAAAAGCCAGAAAGAGTCAAATCAAAACAAAAAGAAAATAGTAACATTCACGCCATTAATTTACACAGGACCACAACACACAATAGCAACATTTCTTTCTTGTTGTTGTTGTTTTTTTTTTGTTTCTCGGAGGTTGTGGTGGTTGTTACTTCTGTTTCTTCATGGCAATTTCCGGCTGTGGTCTGTAGAAGACATCCGTTCACACCACCAGCTCCCTCCTTCGTTTCATGTCAGCGGCATCACATCACCGTGGCATCCGTCACTGTTCTCAACCGACACAGCACCATCCTTTCCCAAGGAAAAACTACTCACTTAAGCTGAGGAGTGAGAACGTTTTTGTTGGGTCAGCTTCGCCCGCCTTGTCGGCAGCACGTCAAATGCCCTACGCCAGTCACCACAGTCGGCATATCGACATAGCACCTCCACCACGTGATTCACCGTAAGAACTTTGCAGCGGTTACCCACTTCAATAGATTCTTCTAGTGGAAGGCGGGCCATACGTACGCCATGACGCCTTGCAGCATCTCTAGTGAGAAATTTCCGCGCATTGTGATCCACAAAAGCGCCAACAACATATACAGTATTAGGCTCCAGGCGCTCTAGCACAGTTTCCGTGTCCGCCGTCAAAAAGACCACGTCCTCTCTCTTGTACAGAGTGGACCAGTGTTGTTCATGAATAGGTAGAGGATAGCGACGGAACCCCTCAAAGTCACACAGCGTGCGTAATAACTCGCCATGCGCACTCGTGTCCATTGTCTCCTGACCACCAATAGATGTGACCACGGGACGCATCGGAAAGGTATGCCGCCGCAATACACTGTAGCTAAACTTTATCTGCGACACTGTGCTGCGGCAGTCGGCAGCCGTCATGCACCAGGCAAAGCTAAGGTCAAACACCAACAACGGGAGAGACACGTTGGAGAGGTGCAGCTCACGCATCGCATGCTCCTTTGCCTCTACAGCTCGTCGTCGCTCGTGAACTATGATCGCCTCCGCACGTCGACGTTCTCGCTCCTTGTCGTCAAGCTCCTCCCACTCCATCTGTTGCGCCTCACGTCGTTGTGCGGCAGCTTCTTTGCTGCGACGCCTCCGCTCCGCCTTTTTTACTTGCCAGTAAGCGGACTGCTGCTCCGCCGTCCACGTCCCCTTTTTTATCTGCAGATGCAGTGGGGAACTAGAGACCCCTTCTTCCTCACCCTTGGTCAGCATGGCTAAAAAAAAAAAAAATGATGCTAAGGCAAAGTACAAGAGAGCGTCGCTGGATGCGCATTTTGCCGTAGACCCAGTTTCACCACTGAGGACAACAAAACAGTGTCGCCCTCAGGACGAAGTGACGTGGGAAACAACTACCAATGACGAGTTTTGCAGAATCCTTCTGCCCACACCACGTCATGGGGCCGCAGCCGCCGCGCAGGTAACGGAAGAGGCGATAATCAAACAAACAGAGTATCCCGCCCCTGCCAGCAACAAAACTCAAAAAATAATAACAATAATAATAAAAAATCAAAATGAAAATTAAAATTAAAAAAAACGACACAAGAATTGATGACACTATACATATATACATATATATATATATATATATAGAGAGAGAGAGAGAGAGATGCGTTGCATGTATGGCGGAAACGGTGCATGGCGCGTCCAAGTAACAAAATGCGACACCGCTCCTACACACCTGCGACAACAGTACGGGTGTCACCCGAAGATCCCTCGAGATCTTTTATTCGCGTCATTGCACGTTGAGTGATAGCCCCCAGCTGCTCATATTGCTCAGCCATGGAAGACATCGTTCGGGTTGCCTTTTCCCTCAACCTAACCAACCGGGAAGCCTCCAGAGAAAGTCGCCAGTTACCCCAGTACTTCAACATGATAAATTCTCTGCTGACCTTCAGAGCGCACCCACGCACCTCGTACATGTTAGTGGAAGCTTCTCCTGTTATGCAGCAGGTGGCCTCGGCAAACAGATTCATTTTATCTGTCACGGCAGTGGCGTACATCTCATCCAGCACGAGCACGTAGGGAAGTATGCTTCCCTGAAGGAAAACTGATAGCGTAGAAAATGCTGCCTCCCAGTTCTCCACTCGCTGTTCCGCCAATAACGCTTTCCTACGCCACACCTCAAGCCCTTCTCGATGCAAAGAAAGAAGCGTTGTGATAATGGCATTAATCTCTGATTTGTCTTGCAGCAAAGTAAGACTCTCAACAGCGCTCGAGAGAGCCTTCTCAGCTTTTTCCTTCTCCTCCTCAGTTACACTCATACCACCTGGAGCCAGTTCGTTTTGTGTCAAAAAGGCATCGGACAAACTTTGGGGAGTGACGGAATTCGAGTTCACCTTGGCCTCTGATAACGGGCCTTCAGCACTCGTGCAACTAGACGAATTCGGGCGGACCGACTGCTCACTTGCCGCACAAACCTTTTCTGTCGGCTCCCGGGTCCGTTGCTGCAAGAGTGTTTCAATCTTTTTCAAGAGATTGTCTTCTCTCTCCTTGTACGCCCTTTCCTTCCATTCATACTCCTCCCGCTGCACTTTCAATTCGTTTCGGGCAATCTGCAGCTGCTCACGCGTCTCTTCGCAAGGTTGCGCCTCCCTTTGTAACATTGTTACTTCCTCCTCCGCCAAGCAAACGTCACTGCCATTTATTTCCGAGGCGTACCTTAACGAGGCACTGGAGGCCGAAAAGACGAGGGCCCCGGTCTTACTATTCCGCAGTTCTGCACTCTTCTTCTGAAGCGCAAATGCCACCCACTTTAGAAGTCGACTTCTCAACTGCATCTGGGCTTCATTGGCGGCAAGACGGAACATAAGAAGGCTGACCAGAGACTCACATTTCCCCAACTGACCGATATCCGTCCCCGTCTCCTCACACATATCAATGGGCTGCTCTGACACGTGCACCACCGTATCGCTCACACCTGAACCACACGGCATGTCCTTTGCCAAGCATGCTTCAAGTTCTTCATTTCGTGCAGACAACGACGTCAATGCCCGCAGATGTTCAACCCGCTCTCTCAAAAGCTCACAAACCCGAGTCTCCACCTTGCACTGCGACTCCAGTGCACTGAGGGTCGCCCGCTCCGCCCGCTCCAGACGCGCTTCGTAGGCGTAAAGCACAGCGTCTTTTTCACCCATTAGTTTTTCCCGACGCAAGAGCTCCGCCGTCAGTACTGTGACTTTTTCAGGCAACGAGGCATCTTTGTTTTTTACCTTGTTGAATTCGCACACCTGCTGCTGGAGCTCCGCAATGTGGTTGTCCCGAAGATTCACCTCGCGAAAAAGTTCCGTGTTGTTCCTTGCCAGATCGTCAAGTTTGTCATACCACTCGCTCTTCACCAGCCACAAAGCTTCTTTGCTGGCCCTCTGTCGCACCTCCTCCACCTCAGCAACTTTTATTCGAAGCTCCTCCCTCAGCTGTTCAACCTCCACCTGTGAGCTTCGAGCCGCTCGCTGCATTTCCTCCAAAGCATCCAGGTGGTCTTCGCGCTCATTTAGCAACACCCTCAGCTGCCGTTCCAACGCGCGTGACCTTTTTTCCACCTCCCCCATGTTCTTGCCTGACTCGCGAGCATGCTCGCCCTCGAGGGCGCAGCGTCCCTTAGCGGGCGGTCCCACACGAGGTGCCACAACCTTCATGCTGCTCCTTTCTCACCAGAGCTCTTCCCACAATCTGTGCAGGCATAAAACAAAAGCGGACGAGATAAAAGACATACTTTAAGTGGTTTAAAGCAGCGACCAGCCAGTGGCCCAAAGATGCCAAAAAAAAAAAAAAAAGGATTTCATAAAACAAACAATAACAACAAAAAAAAAAGGAAAAAAAAGAGCTAAACAAAATTACGAAAATAAAAACCTAAAAAAAACAACGAACTATCCTAATGGGTTCTCAAATCGATATGTACTCAAATTCAGGTCGAATGGATGTCACTCCAACGAGATGGACCCCTTGCTCGGATGGGCGTGTAAGTATAACGCGGCCAGGTATACCCACTGCATTTGCCGCTTGAAGCATGGCATCAGCAACAGTTTCAGCATTGTGTTTGCTTCTTGGATCAATCAAGGGATCACCATACTGGCCACTTACGAACGCACAGACTGTAGGTCCGGCACCCGAAAGGAAGGCGTACTGGGCGCCAGCAGCCATAGCTGCATTAACACAGGGGCGGAAATGAGGAAAAAGAGCATCAGCTCGTTGCTGCTGATGCAGTTTGTCATCACAACACTTTAGTAGGTCAAGGTTTCCGGTGCAGAATGCCAGCACAAGAACAGAGGCGCGAGAAACATTAAAGACAGCGTCTTCAAGTGAAACAGTACTTGGAATCAGATCGCGGGTTGCGTGTGTATTCACCTTCATTTTATCCTTTGGGACAAATAAGACGACTGAAAAGAATGTTGCTGTGGGAACTCGATGAGTTAAGAAGCGACCCGTATTATCCTTGTACCCCAGCTGAATACCCCCATAAAGTGCAGGAGCTGCATTGTCGGGGTGACCCTCAAACTCGGCGATCACTTGCAGAATAGCCTCCTCCTTTTCTTCTTCCAATGAGAGCCCACAAAGTTTCATCCCAGCAACAAATCCCGCTACCGCGGCGGCAGAAGAAGATCCACACCCACAGCCAAACGGAATATTGCTCTTCACGAGGAACTTCAGGGGAGGCATTTCCTTCTGTGCATACTCAAAAGCACGTTCACACGCTTTCACCAACAAATTTTCTCGATCGGTGCGTATATGCTCACTTCCATCACCCTCAAGATGTAATGAGAATGCATCCGCGTACTCCACCGTAACCTCCATAAAGATAGAAAGAGCCATGCCAAGAACATCATATGCTGGACCCAAATTCGCTGTCGTTGCAGGAACGCGAAGAACAACCTTCTTTGGAAGCTTTGACATGATGTTGTCTCGGATAATACCAATTTCTCGCTCTCTCTTTAAAATGCAGTAAGCACAGCCACACAGCCTTTAAAAAAGAGAAAGGAAAAATCACATGGGGGAGAAGCTGCATTGACACACAAATATCAAAAAAAGTATTTATTTTCTTTTTTTCCCCCTTTTTCGGTACAGACACCATGCGCATGCAAGCTCACACACACACACATACACACAAGCATGACAAAAAGAAAGGAATCAAGACACAAAAAACACACACACTGACATACATAAATGCAAGCACATGCATACAGCTATATACGCCAGTATATGCATACATCGGCCCTTGTGTAGAGAGCAAATAGAAAACGAAAGAGAAAAAGCAAAGAAGTAAGCTCCTTCCTCATTCGTCCTGTCCTCTTCTCATTATTTCTCTCCCAAGTTTATCTGTGTCCGTACACAGCAATGGCCTTTTTACGGCTTTTTGTGTGCTTTTCCCGCTTTTGTTTCTTATATTTTATAATGTAAATGGAGTGGTGGACTCAAAGGAACGTTTTTTTTTATGTAATTTTCAAAAGTTTTTTTTTTTTTTGAGTTGCTTTAAGTTTACTCCACGTTTTTATGTTTCTTTTCTTTGCCCACCCGTACCACTTTTAGTTAGGCTTTTTTGTCCTGCTCTTTTCCCCACACCCCCATCTCTTTTTTTTTTTCCTCACTGGCATTTGCCTGCAATTTTTCTTTCTAAAATAAATATTGGCGCCTCTCGATTATTTCCTTGAGCCGCTCATTAAAAACGTGTCTCACTCCTCCATTTAATGCGGTATAAAATTACTCTTCTTCTTTTTGTTGTTGTTGCTGCTTGCATTTTCTCCTGTCGCTTCACTACTTTTTTGTTTGTTTGGTTGTCTTTCGTTTTTTTTTGTTTTTGTACCCCCCACCACCACCTGTTTCAATTGTGTTAATTTTCCCCACGATTCCTACTCCCGTGCACTGCATAGGGTGGGGGGTGGGGATGGAAGTGTGTGCGTGCCTCACCCGCCTGCGCTTGTCACAGACCGTTTTTTCCCCCTTTTGCTGCGTCTTCCCCTTCCCCGCCTGTGTGTGTGACGATATTCCCCCATCTCGTGCCCCGGGACACGTGCGAAGCGCACATGTCCGGCACTCACGCACGGGAAACCTGCTTAGCGGCGGGCCGAAGGGCAGGTGCATACCTTCTGTTTGAAACACCATACACCACTGCTGCTCGTACCTGCCCTACCGTTCTTCCTGTGTTGTTACTTTCTGCTGTTCTTTTTTTTTGTTTTGTTGCGCTATTCACACGCCTTCGCACAGGAATCATCGGACACCGCGGCGGCCATAAACGCTCAAATGTACACACTCACGCGCACGTATGCACACGCTCTCACTCCATGGATTTTGTGAAAGGTGTACTCCCTACACCCTTCCCTACTGCCTCGTCCTCTGACGGTAAATGTTCACACGAGTCTTGCGTGTACCGACCTGTCGGGGGGTTGGCCTTAAGAACATCCATGATGTTCTCTTTGTCTGAAAAGTCAAGGAAGACGTGGCCATTAGCAGAGTTGTTGCGGAGGGAGACAATATGAGCAGCCAACGGACCAAAGGCCGTCTTAATCTCCTCATCTGAAACTGCATAATCGATGTTGAACATCAGGCGATCACCAATAGGCGCTGCGGGAGGACGAGGGGCCTTAGCAGAAGACTTCTGGGCCCCTGCAGCCGCAGCAGAAGAGGATGCTACATGCCGTTGCTCTGTCTGGGTCGGCTTTACAGGAGCATTGACCTCAGCGGCATCAGCATTTCCACCGTTCTCTGGAACAACCACCCTCAGTGGCTGGCGCTGTTCTCCCTTCGGCTGAGCGCTGGCAAGAATAGCCCACGACTTCGGCTTTGACGACGTTGCTGGCGGCTGACGCTGCACAGGAGCTGCGGCTGCCGGCTCATCTGCAGCCGTCTTTTCCTCGCTTGTTACTTCTGCTGCTGCTTCAGGAACTTCCATGGTGGCATCCTTCTTGGGTTGCGACTGTTCTTTATTCCCTTCCTCCTCAACGGCTGACGGGCATGCGGGCGCCACAGTCGCTTCAACTGGCTCAGAAGACACTTCTAACTTCGGCTCTGGTTGAGGCTTGACCTCGGGCTCTGGCTGCTCCTTTTCGGCGGAACCGAGACGCATCACAATCTGGTGGCGGATAAAGTACGCCTCCGAGCCGTAAGCACCAGTGTTGTACGACTCAAGAATGTTCACGAACTGGAAGTAGTGACGGGTCGTTTTAGAGTCAGCAAACATAGTCACGTACACGCTTATACCACCGTACAAGGGGACGGCAGAGTAGTTCTCCACGCACATCTCGTGCCCCTGAAGGATCTGGGACCACTGTTCTACGGCCCGAGGAACGTCCCCATTTCGGACTTCAGTTGTGCCGTACACGAAGTCTACGATTGTTAAGGACGAGTTCGAGTCGTACATTTCGGCGACATCTGCAGGGTTAGATGCGAGGCGTTCAAAGAACGCCGGGATAAACTGGCAGGCAACTTCCTGAGGTGTGGGCATAACTTCGGGTTGTTGCTTGGCGAAGGAGTAGCGTACCTACACTGTCAACACCGGAGCAGCACGCGGCATACAGAGAAAAAAAGGAGTAAACGCAGAAAAAATAAGGCATTAGACAAATATGTTATGTACCGAAGCAGCTGACCTCAGTGCGACGACAAATATTGTGGTGCGAGCAATGAGCTTATATTTATATAAACAAGCGCACCGACACCATATGCCACAACAACAACAACAGAAGAAGCGTAAGAAAAAGAACTTGCAATTCGAGCAACACCTAGGAAAACCAATGAAGACGACTATAGAGCATGCAAATCGTCACAGGGGATTGCCCACTTGTTAAAGGTAGCCACACACAATGAAACGCTTCGAGAGTCAACAGGTGATTCAGTTGCCTTTAACACCGCAATGAGTCTCCGAACACTTTCCACGTCCACAACGAGACAAAGCAGCTGCATAAGACGTATCGACAGCTTACTCTCAATAGAGAGGGACTTTTGTTCATGGTACCCAACCATCTGCATCGCAGTGAAAACGTCCTGTGCGTCAATTGCTAGCTCAAGTCCCCCACGAAGAAAATCGCGTGAAAGCTCAATGCCCAAATCAGACATCTCCACCAAAGCGTCTGGCAGTCGCGCCACCGAACTCGCCGCGTCACGCAAGGAACGAAGTAGAAGCAAAAACGTACGAGCAGTTCGCTGTGCCCCAAGACTCTCAAAGGCGGCAAACACCATGGATGCCTTTCCCTCATCCTTCAGCAGCGCAGCAGCTTCCATGAGCACATTAAGAGACTTGTGACTCACCTCACAACCAGCCTCCCGTCGCTCTTCCAAAATGGCCAACCCCTCCTCCACACTTGCTCCGCCCAACGCAACAAAGCGTACTAGCGTCATGATTGGGTCCGCGTTGAGCAGCGTCACTTTTCTCGACTCCAGAAACAATTTTGGTCGGGGACCTGGTTGAGAGTGAATCTCCGGCACTTCATCCTCTAGCACGGTCAGCGCCTCCTTCAGCTTCCTACCCCGTGAAGCGGCCTCCAGGGAAAGTAATGATACTGTCAGTTGGTTTGTTGGGGATATAATGCCGGGGTGTTTACCAAGGTATTCTCGAAGATAGGCGGCAGATGCCACATCTCCCCATTTGGCACACTTGGCCATAAGTTTCAGTGCGGTGAGTTCATTGTTTAATACGGGGTCAGCTAAGTTCCCACTCAACGCTTCCACCTCGGTGACTTCAGAAATAGACCGTGGGAAAGTACCCTCTGACGTGGGCGTTTCCAGCTTCCACGCTGCTTCCAGAAGTTGTATTAACTTAACTGTTGTCGAAGGCGGTGCCGCCGCATTATTGGCGCTAAGCAGCATGTACGGCAGCAGGAGCCGAGACGAGAGTCTCTGCCTGTCAACGAGCTTCAATAGGTCGAAGCATTCCTGAATCATGGCCACATCGTGATGCAAACGAAGCATCGTCTGAAAGCAATGCTGCAACCGCACTTCAAGAAGTGGGTATTGGCCCTTCCGCTCGGCCTTCGCGATGCTCATCACCTCGTCCCGTATCTCCGGCCACCACACCGAGTAGTCCTGCCCCAAACGCATGTACAAAATAAATAGCGAAAGCCGCGTCACCACATCAGGACTGACAGATTTTTTGCGCATAGCCTCCACAACATTTTCAATCTCGTACTGGTTAAAGGTATCTGTCAGTGAGATGGCAAGCAGGTACACGTTGAACAACTCAATCGACGGTGCGTGAAGCTCTAGCACACACTGCGCAAAGAGAAAACGGAGTTCCTCCATCTTCTGAAGATCGCAAAGAACTTTCATCATGACAACCGCGAAAGGCTCCACATCCTCCAAGGCACCACAAAATTCCTCAACCGGTCTCATTGGTGTCCCTGAAGCCGCCCTCTCTGCCATGACATGCCGGTAAAAGGCTCGAAACTGTTCAAAAACACCCATTGCCGCAGGAAGTCCTTCACCCCCAACCTGCAGCATCTTGAGCACGCGGTGATACGGACGTGAGGGGGAGCTAGACGGCTGCGCTCTTCCACCCACAGCGGCCGCCCGCCGCAAGAGACTCAAACGCCACATGAGGGTCACACCCTTCCTCTGCTTGCAAGGCTGCCAGCAAGGTAAAAAGAAGTAAAATAAACATATGCAATAATTTTGGCCTTTCGTTGATGTTGACGACTCTCCCGCTCTCTCTCCCCCTCGGAGTCCCCTCAGAAAAAGTAAAAACACACATGCATAAACAAATAAAGCCGGAAACCGAAGGCTACAACCACATCGACGTTTATCTCGTTTCATTTCGTAACAAAGTCTCACTTTCTTTTTCGTTGTGTTTACAATTGCAAGCCCTCACCACAGAGCTGTTGCAAAGGCATAAGGAAATAAGAGGTACTGGAATACCAACCACGACCCTAGCAACCGCGTACAGTAGCCAATGGTGCAACTACGATTCTCCTCCTCAACCAACGACAGCCTCCTCTTCTGTTCAATACATGAAGACGAGTTTGTCTCATCCTACGCTTCCACAGCGGAAGTGGAAATTGCCTCGGTGTCTGTTGTTTTCCTTGTGTAATTCATCTTTAGCACAACACAGCCTGGAGTAAACTCATTGACAGTACGATTTTGCAGCTCATATTCTGGGAAGTACTCAGCTTCCACCCCAACGTTCTCCCCTCGCTGGTACATCTTTCCGACAGCACTATCGGGGTCAAGGAAGACAATCACTGAGAAACGTTGTGGGGAAAAAACACCCAGCACTGTGCTTATCCGCTCCGCGTAATTGGCAACGGGCGTATTCGTTTCATAAGAGGCAAATGAGCAGTGATCTTCTGGTGTGATATGAATTGTCTGGTATTCCGCACCACGGATGGTGTTCACGCTATACCCACAAGGCTCAAATTGCAAGTCATGCACCTTCCATGAGTCATCTACCACCCTGTCCAGCGATGTAGCCCGGCGGATAGCGGCTGTCTCCGGGCCTGTCGAAATAAACCTATCGGAATACCAATGCTTCGTCTGCGCACGGTTGAGGCCGTACATTGTCATACTTAACTGTGTATCATTTTCCGTCGCGCTTGGACGAATGATGTCATCGTAGACAAACAGAAAGTAATGATCACTGTCTACTGGACCAAATATAAAAGGTCTGCCTGCTGGAAAGTACGTCCTTAGACTGTTGAACTCCTCTGCCATGGAAAGATGAGGCCCCTTCTGCTCCCACGGGAAGCTGTAGTTTTTGTGCATGAAGGAGGCCCATTCCACCTCCCCGCGCACATTACTAACCACCTCCAAAACGTAAGGAACCGCATGAAGCAGAGTCGTTGTGCCACATGTAATCAAAATTATACGGTCCCGCATGACAAATAGCGAGCTTTCCGTGAGCACATAAGAGCGAATAAACTCATTACTTTCTTTAGATACAATTTGAGCATTTAATGAGCCTACTACAACTGTCCACACCTCATCGCCAACGGCATAGAGACCATCCACGTGGGTTTCGTCAAGGAACCGCATGATGACCTCCAGACGCTTCTCCGGTCCCTCAAAATTAGCCCCCTGTTTTGGGTCGTAGCTCCTCACGGAGCCCCACATGGCCATCAATGAGAAGGGGTCCTTGCTGCCAGGCATGATGCTTACAGACACACAAGCGCGTACACTCAACAAAAAAAAAAAAATTAACTCACACGAAGCGGCCGGATGTTTGCAATGGCATGCAACGCCAAGACCCACAAGATATGCCTCGCTGCCGCAAGCAACGAGAACACGAGTGCACCCTAAAGCACAATTTGAGTGGCAGAAAGAAAACGAGAAAAACACAAAGCAGAGAAAGACAAACCCAAGGAAACACATGTATACCACCCACTTCCCCATGTACCGGTAGCGAGTAGTGCAAATGGGCAACTTTACAACAAACTGCACCTCGTTCGTTTTTTCCCCCTCCATAATAGACACATGTTCCTTCCCACATCACCACTTGTGATACAAAAACAGTTGTATAAAAGGGAAAATACGAGAATCAATAAATCGCTCCATTAGCGTTACGTGCGTCTCTGTTATTTCCCACTTTTTTCCTTCAGCCTCGGTCGTTGTTTCCTTGCATTTTCAACTTTACCTGCCTTCACAAAAACCTTCTTTTTTCCGTCCTTCTTTTCATCATCCCGTTAAGCCCAGTACATTGGGGCACATGCGTCGTACAGAGCAAGTAATTTGCAGATGGCCCAAGCACCGCAAGGCAGCTACCTCCCCATAAGACATAAACGCAGTGTAAAGGGAAAAAGAACCAGGATTTTTTTCTTTCAGTTTTTTTTTTAGATAACTTCCCCGTAGGAATCACGTGCCTTGTACGGCTACCACCTTCCTCTTACCCACCTCCGCTGAATCCTCGCCTATCCTCCGTACTGCGTTGTTGCATATATCCATTAACACATGGATGTGTTAACGGGCAATGCCGCGGCAGCACGTAGTGTCTAAAACAAAAAAAAAACTCAACAAAAAAGGAAAACCAAACCAAAAAAAAAAAACGCACACAGGGAAATGTAAAACAAAAAAAACACACACACCAACAACAAAAAGGGAGAGAGGGTGACTGCGGTCATCCTCACATAAGAAACAACGAAAAACACAAACCAAACGCAGTCAACCAGATATGTACGCAATTTCCCACGCAACCACATGCACGTATCACAAAACAAGTTTTGTTCGGCTCACACGTGTTGCGGAGCCAAATACATATTTTTATGCCTTCATGCATGCCCACACATGCACACGTCCACGTGTTTCTTTTAGCGGTTGAGGCGGGTACAGGATATGAAGCGACAGAGAATCCAAAAGAAAGACAACACCAGGAGCAAATCAGAGAAAATATGTAAAAAAAAAAATAAGAGCATCCCTCTCTCCTTCTCTATCTCGCTCTCTGTACGTATGCATGTGTGTGCGTGCATATACGGGCGAGACAAGGCAGATATTACTTCCGTCGTCTTTTTTTTTTGTTGGTTGCCTGATGTTCCTTCCTTCCACACGAAGCATCGCCCCATTGCTCACACACAAGCACAAAATCGTCCTTCCTATACCATCTATTTGTCTCTCAGTCTCCTTTTTTTTCTTTTTTTGTTCCTTCTGAATCTCCTGCTTCATGGCTCTTCTCCACCTCACCGTTTCCCCGCATGCCACTACACATGCATATTCCTATTGATCCCAACCTATTTCGCCTTATACTAGTGGAAAATTCAAATTCTTCATTTTCTTTATTTTCCTTCAATTCGTATTCTTTCTCTCAACCTTTCTACGCTGCACTTTTCTCTCGTACACGTGCACGGCGGCTCCTTTTCACCAAACAATATCTTCTCTCCCACCCTCCTCTGCTTCTGTGATGATCATTTCGAATAATTGTGCACATAATGTTGTTGTTTTTTTTGTTACTTTTTTCTTCCCGCTTGTTCCTCCTGGTGCGGCTCAGAATAAAAACTACTTAATAAATGATTTGCATGCGATCATAAAAATTCCCCCCACTGCTGAATTCGTACATCGCGTGAGTTCCCTTCGACTCTTTGCTCCACCTCCGCCCCACCCTCTTGTAGCGCCGCCATCTCTCTCACTCCTTCGTGTGAGTCTATGTATGTGTGTGTACGCGTGTGCAGAGCATGATGCCCCTACAGGCAATGCAGGCAGCACACACTCGCATGCACACAGACCCACACATAGGCAAACTAGGAAGTGGGCGGGGAAGAGGAGAAAAAAGCAAAGACCAAAGACCCACGCGCAACGCCGCTTCTCGATTTGGTTTTCTTTTTTGACTTACATGTGTACCTCATTCCTGTTTCATTGCGCAAAAGGCCTTTTTTTTTCGGGACGGTTCTTCTGTTTCTTTTTAGCCTTTTTTCATTGGATTTGGGTGAGATCTCGAACTATTACCACACTCCTCTTGAGTCTCTCACTCACTTATCGGTCATCGTACACAACCATATATCGTCTTTTTCTCTCACCGTCCATGCCGTCAGTGGGCATACACACCACCAAGGCAGCTCTGTCAGGAACAAATCATTACAACAACAGCAAGCTAAATGCTTCTTGCCTCGTCATCAGGCGCAAGTCGCTTATTATTATTATTATTATTTCTACTTCTTCATTGCTTTCCAAACGTATTTACTTACTCCTCCATGCTGAGGGTTTCACTTGCGTGTTGTTGGTGTTTTAGAGATGAAGCGCTCCAGTAAATCCCTGTCGTGATTGAGTTAAACAGCACAAAGCAATACGCACACACACACACATACACAACAAACGAACTCCTTTCACTGTTGCTGAGCGGCAGACCGCATTATTCCCGACATGTCGGTGCCTCAAGTCAAAAGCGGCGTGTACTCCTCCACATCCCCCTCCCGTGTGCTTCACAGTCGTGAAAGCCGCCCAACAAAAAAAGGGCACCACCCAACAGCAGCGCAGGAGGGAATTGCGGAAATGAATGCCGCCGGGAACGACTCGACACTTATGTAGGAAAGAGCTTCCGTCGCCTCCACAGTGAGGGGCAAATAAAGGCACAACAAACTCGTGCTGCAGGCCTGGTAGTGTACCCCGTCAAAAAAAAAAAAAGAATAACATGGCGTAAAAATCAACTTCAGTGAAACGAGGAGGCATTAGGCCCTCCACTCTCAGCCCAACACCATGAAGTCCAACCAAACAAAAAAAAAAACAGGTGGTGGAATTTTAACGAAAAAGAAAGCGGAATAAAAAGGGGAAAACGCAAGAAATGATGGGAGCAAACTACAGCACAGTGCAAATGGCTTCAAATGGGTCCATCATCCGCAATACATCATTCCACCGTTTCCAACTCTTTCCAGAAGCCGCCTTCCACCGAAAAACGTCAAAACTAAAAACAAAAGAGAAGAGATTGGGAAACCAGTAGATTAATAGCGTCAAGGAATATATATATTTCTGCTTGTGTCACCCAGCTGTGCAATTTATATTCTCATTATGAAGGTATGTGCGTGTGTCTGAAAAGTACAGGAATGTTTGTTTGTGTGCGTGTGTGTGTGTGTGCTCTGTCCGCTGCATCTTATTCACGAAAGGACCCGGCGCTTATCCGCCAGTTCGAGCTGCCGGCATGCCCACAAGAAATGAACACGGCGGTTAAGAGAAAAATGCCCCCCGTAGAGGTTTACCTTATCGTTCTCAGGTACTGGTTCTGTGGAGAGGAGCACGTCGCGTGTGGCGGCAAAAAAAATGTGCGGACAGCACCCACCACCCGTCTCGTGTCCCCTCCTTCATTCTTTTTTTTTCTTTTTTTCGCGGCATCGCTGCTGTGCGGTACCCCCTGCGAGTCACATATGCGTGAAATACACACACACAAAAGTCAATGTTGCTGCAGTGGCAACGGTGACAATTCGCTGTGGTGTCTCATGAAATGTGACAGGTGGAAGATGCTGCACAGAAAGAATATTGGGGGAAGAAGTCGGCTCAGCAGTTTTGTATTGGCGTAAGTACGCGAACGGGAAAACAAAACAAAAAAAAACGTAAGGGGGGATCGCAGCAAAAGTGGTGTTGAGTGCTTCAAAGAAGTCGACTCGGTGAACTGGCACAGGAAATGACAGAAGGAGGAGGATGTATTTATTTCTCTTAGAACCCAAACAAGCAAACGAAAGCAAAACAACAAACAAACAAACAAAAAAGAAAAAAGAAGATAAAAAAAAATGCGAAAACAAAAAAAACGGCATTTAAAAAAAGAGGGGGAGGGACCGTCGTCCCTCCACGCACACCTCGTTTTTATTGCTGTTCTTTTTTTTTCCGGTGCTATTCCACTCACTCCTTCACTCAGCGCGAACATAGCTGATCTGGTGGAACGCGTAGCCCTGCCCGAAATGATTCGTCGCGCGGTTCATGATAGTGTAGCCCTTCACCTCGTCAAAAATATTGTTGCGTTCGGAAAGAGGGCAGCACCGGTCCTGCAGCACAACCATCATTACCTGGTCGGGGCAGAATTTCTCAAGAAGCCCTCTCAACAGCTCTGCCGTTTTCGTAGAAGCCATCACGGCGTTTGTTTCAAATGATGCAAAGGGATGCGACGTGCTGTCTGTAGAGACTCGCAGTATCTCATACTCCGTGGAACTCAGTGGAAGCACCTGTCGTACGCTCTTTAGAGCTCCACTGTCGTCGCGGGAACCATCAGTTTTTACGTTGTACATATAAATATTGATTTGTACATCGTCTTCAGGTGGCGCGTCCAAAACATTCCGTTCAATCCCATCATACACAAAGTAGAAGAAGTGACCGCTATCAAGGGGGCCTGTCAGGTACGGATGGCCAGAAGGAAAGGCAGACTTCAGCTCCGCGTACTCCTGTGCCATAGTCTCACTCATCTCGCACAGCGAGCTCCATGGAGAGGTGATGTTCATGCGCATAAAGGAAGCCCATTCAATAGCAAAAGCGTGGCTGCGAAGCAGATCCAGCAGCGGACCCAAAACCAAGTGCAGCAGCACAGAGGACGACGATGTCACGAGAACCAGCTTCTCTGTCAACTGCAACATGCTGTTGCTAAACATAAGGGAAACGAGACCATTTCCGACGGAATGATGCTCCAGCAGCTCCCCTGCGTGTGACATAACAGACGCGAGATCTGCCACTGCTACGTCACTCGGCTCAATTACTCCGCGGAAGTCCAACTCCAGTCGTTTTTCGATTCCACAATCGTTGTCGCTGTGTGGTGCATCACACCCTCCCCACATCGCCACCAGGGATTGCACGGACTCCGGGATCTCCTCCCGCGCAGCTGACCAGGGGTTCTCCACCATTCCCTCCCGTTGCTTCTTCTGGCGTGAGAGCTCACAAGGCGCAAACGGAGAAAAAAAAATGTAAACAAAATAAGAGATTTAGTTTAAGGCTAAATCCCTTTTTTCTCCCCCTTCACATGTTTGTTGTGGATAAGTGTGTGCGTATGCGTGTGTTAAAGTCACATGGAAAAAACAGGAAAAAACACATGGAGGAGGCAGGAAGGAATGAAACGAAGCGAGCAACATAATTCACCGCAGAAAGAAGGCACCCCACCACGCATACAACTAACAGGAGGAGGTCCACCAATGATATTTACTGATCCCCTCGTCTTATTGGTCCGACTACAGTATTCAGTGGCATTTTTTTTTACGCTCTTTTTTTTTTGTAGCCATTATCTTGTCTTGTTTCCGTAGAGAATGAAAGGAAAGAAAACAATAATAAAGGGAGCAAAGTGTAAATAATATTATTAAACTTCCGGAGTTTGACCCGTATTAAATTATTGCCCGCACCTCACCCAGTTCACCTCAAGTAATCTTCGCATACACATGCTCGCGCGCATACATGATGTTGGGTGCCCTTTGTCTGCCTATAGCATGGCCCTCATCTTCTTCTGACCTTCCAGGAGTTGCTTCTCCTGGGCCGTGAGCGCGTCAAGCTTCTCGCTGTTCGACGCCCGCACCTCAGCAGGGACCTTCGTGTCATAGTTTGAAATGGACATTTTCTTCTTGAGAGATTGAATCTGCTTTTGCAGCCCCTCAAGCTGCTTATCAAGCTTCGTGACCTCCTTCTGAACGTCAATGAAACCCAGGAGCATCATGTTGACGCCCACCTCCTTGTTCACCACGGAAAACCCGCAGCCTTTTGGAACACTGGCCTCCACCTCCTCAGGAGAAATAACAAAGACATTTCCCACCACACCGAGAGAAGAGACCATGTACTTGTGATCTATTAGCAACTGCTTCACCTCGCTGGTTTGGGCGGTAATCCACACATCAGGTTTGTGTTTGTTTGTAAGCGAGTAGGAGGCCTTGGTGGAACGAACATTGTGCACTGTATCCATCATGAGCCTCATCTGCTGCTCCACAGTGTCATTCCTCCATCCAGCTACAACAGGATACGGGGCGAGCATAATAGTATCTACCCCGAAGCTATTGTAATTCGGCAGGTGATGCCAAAGCTCCTCTGTGAGGAAGGGCATCATGGGATGCAGCAGTCGAAGCGCGGCTTCCACCACGTGCAGTAACACATCCTGCACCAGCTGCTTTTTATCGTCACCGGCTTGAATAGAAACCTTCGAAAGCTCAAGAAAGACATCGCATAGCTCGTACAACCAGAAACGGTAGGCTGCGTTGGTAGAAAGGGCAAAGTCGTAAGAACCCTCCGAGAAGGCGCGGGTGCACTCTTCCACCGCCACATCTAGGCGGGACAGAATCCAGCGGCATTCCAATGGATAATTTTCCACCTTAGAGACATCAATAACTGTCAGGCTTGGTTTGTATTCGGTTCCCAAGGCGTGATACAGCACGTACCGCACCGCATTCCATAATTTGTTGCAGAACTGGCGGTAGGCAACAATACGGTCAATGTCAAGGTTGACGCTCCTCCCTGATTGCGTGTAGGAAAGAAGGCCAAACCGAAGTGCATCGCTCCCGCACTCAGGAATACCATTTGGAAACGTTTCCTTCTGTAACTTTAGCGCCCGAGGAACTTCCTTGTCGTCCAAATTGCCGTTCGTTACTGTGGCGTGAAGTCCATCAAGGGTAACACCATTGATAACAAAAAGTGGATCAATCACATTCCCTTTCGACTTGCTCATCTTTTCACCATTTTTGTCACGCACCATGGCGTGCAAAAACACTTCGGAGAAGGGTAACTTCCCTGTGAAATGAAGAGACGTCATCACCATGCGTGCCACCCAAAAGAAGAGGATGTCGTGGCCGGTCTCCATTAAATTTCCAGGGAAAAACGTGTGCATATCGTCTGTGTCCCCTGGCCAGCCGAGGGTCGAATAGGGCCACATGGCAGAACTAAACCATGTGTCAAGCACATCCGGATCTTGCTCCAGCACCAGTTCTTCCAATTCTTCGTCAGTCATGTTAAATTTCGTACGGGCCTTGGACTTGGCCTCCTCGATGTTACGAGCCACCACCCAGAGATCTTCAGGGTCAGATGATCTCACACCTAGACACTTGTATGCGGGGATACGGTGGCCCCACCACAGCTGACGAGAGACGCACCATGGCTTGATGTTCTCCAACCAGTGAAACCAAACCGCTTCGTGCGATGCAGGGTACAGACGTAGCTCTTTGTTACGCACAGCCTCCACCGACTTACGTGCCATTTCGCCGCAGTCAACAAACCACTGCGGCATCAGCATTGGCTCCACAATGTCGCTTGTACGACTGCAGCGACCAACACGATACTCATAGGGAACCACCTCACGCAGAAGACCCATCTTTTCAAGCTCCTTCACAATTTCACGACGGCAATCAAAGCGATGCATTCCCTTAAATGGGCCATCCATGGAGATTCGTCCATGAAGATCCATCATGGTGAGTTGCGGTAAATTGTGCCGTACCCCCGCCTCAAAGTCATTTGGGTCATGTGCAGGAGTAATTTTCACGGCGCCTGTGCCAAAACTCACGTCAACCAAAACAGGGTCAAGGATCAGCGGAATGGTCTCATCACGGAAAGGACACTTTAAGCGTTTGCCATGGTGCTTTTTATAGCGTTCATCATCGGGGTGAACTGCGACCGCCGTATCCCCCAAAATGGTCTCTGGCCGAGTCGTGGCAATAACAATCTCCTCTTCACTGCCCTCAAACTTGTAAGCAACGTGGGTCAAAACACCCATGTCGACTTTCTTGTCGTAACCAGGAATGGCAAGTTTTGTATTTTTGGGCACATCAATAAACTCCACCTCCAAGTCAGAAATAGCGCTCTGCAGCGCACAACACCAATTCACAAGGCGTGTGGAGCGGTGCACCAGACCATCCTCGTGCAGCCTCACAAAGGCCTCCACTACCGCCCCCGCACAATGTTTATCCATCGTAAAATGTTCTCGTGACCAATCCAAACTAAGGCCAATCTGCCGTAGTTGTCGGGTAATCACACCAGCGTGATTTTCTTTAAAGTCCCACACACGTTTCAAAAACTCTTCTCGACCAAGATCATGACGCGTCTTACCAGTTTCTCGCATAAGACGCTTTTCCACAACTACTTGTGTGGCAATACCGGCGTGATCTGTACCAGGAACGTACAAGGTGTTATCGCCCTTCATGCGGTGGAATCGAATAAGTGTATCCTGCACAGAACCTGTCAAGGAGTGGCCAAGATGCAAATATCCAGTGACATTGGGAGGAGGGGATATGATGACAAACGTCTTGCCATTGTGCTTGCGGCCCACATCGGATGCAGGGTGGAAGAAGCCGGACTTTTCCCACCATTCATACCATTCACTTTCAACATCCTTGGGGCTGTAGCCCGCAGCCATCTGCGGAGAGAGCCGCTTCATCAGAGAAATTCGTCCACGAAACGTGCTGAATTACAAACAGAAAACTCCAAGGTCAAATGCGGTAGATTCCTCTTCTAGAAATGAGTAACACACACAAGCAGCAAAAAAAAAAAAAGGGAGGAGAAGCGTTCATTTGAGCCAGAATTCTCCAATGTAAGGAAAATAAGAAAGGAAACTCCGTTGTTATTTATGTATTTCATATATTTTTTTTCTTCTCTCACGTGTCAGTGTGAGAGCGTGCGGAAACTCCACTTTTCCCCACCGTCCCATTTATTCAACCCCAAACTGGCGTCTTCTTTGGCGCGTATTGGCGCGTTGTTGCACCCGTCATCGCACTTAGGTGGCGTCATACAAAAATATATCTTTTTTCTTCCCACCGCAACCGCACACCATGCCAAAAAAGCACCCCACAGCCATTTTTATTTTTCTTTAAAGAGCGCGTAGCTTTACCCTACTTATGCACCAAGAATGCCTTCCCCCTCTCCATTCTTCTTTCGCTTCGAGTGACGCGCACACCCAGTGAACCGATCCCTCTTTACTTCCGCATTCTCGTCAATACCTCCGTTGAAAGTTTCCTCTACCATTCAGTTTCGCCCCCCACCTCCGAGCTATGCATACAATTCGCCAAAGCACAAGAAAAAAAGGGGGAAAATGTCCGTATTGACTCCATAACAAATAAAATAAAAAAAAGGAGGGGAAAGCTCCCCGCAAAACCCCATTTCCCCACACAAAGGGTCTCTTATTCCGCAGACACCGTGCACCTCATTGACGAATTGGCGGATGCTGGCTGCGAAAGGCAAGAAAAACCGTAAAACAGTAGCACCTTGGCAGGAAAGGAACGCGCCGCACCTTCCCGCTAGCATGCGCGTAGGAAGCAAGCATAAGACTGACAATCCTAAAAAAGTAGTTGCACACAGTATTACAAAAAATATATGAGAGTACCCATGCACAGCAACAACGAATTCACAGAAACTACACACACCGACACATACATACATACATACATACATACACACACACACAAAGGAGTGGAGAAACGAAAAGTGTAAGTTATTCGCGTCCTCTCTTGTAATTTTCCTTATTGCATCAATGCTAGCTAACTCCATTATTTACCTTATTCGCCCTTCTCCTATATGACTTTTGTTCTTGTTTTGTTCTTTTGTTTTTTTAGTGCATGTGTTGTTTTTTTGTTGTTGTTGATTAGTGTACGCATTCATTTCTTACTGTATCCTTTACGTTGCGTTCACTCCCTTTTTTTGGGAATATAGAAAAAAAAAATGAACAAGGAGAGATTACCCTTTTAAAAAATATTTTCCCGACTGTTTGAGCTGCTGCACAACTTCTGCCTGACGGCAGCGGCGTTGCACAATCTCCTCGGTGCAGTAGTTGTACACCCAGTGGCGCTCCCCCCCTCCCCATATCATCATCGACGAGAGCTTGGACAGTACCTGCTGATAAGGGTCGGGCGCAAGGCTGAAAAGAGCGTTGGCGCCGACGTACTCCATCTCAACAGCCAGCATGATGCGCTTCCACTTGTCAATGTTTGCCTTGCGATGTGGGTCTCTATGGTACGCCGTTGAAACAAGTTGCTTTAGCATCAGTCGGTGATCCTCTCGCGAAACTTGCATTTTGCGTGTCTCGTTGAGGATAATGTTGTGGAGATTTGTCTGGTGCCACGCCGCTACACGCCGTTTGTCGCGCTCAAGATCTATGCTGCTGGCGCCGTTGTCGGGCACAGCAGGATCACTGGAAACGAGACCCAACATTGGAGAGACTCCGTTGGCGTCATCGGACTCAGCTTTCATTGACATGCCGGTGGTACCTTTGTGGCGAGACCCAGGTGCAACGCGATGCCCTCTGCCTTCGGACCTTGCCCAAGCCGGCACTGCGGCACAGGCGAGATTTGGCAGGAAAGTTAAAAGAAAGAGAGAGAGAGAGAGAGGGAGGAGGAAATGAGACAAATGATGGGTGGACATTTAACGTGACTAGGCGCCACGGGGAAAGGACGCACACATATTATTTTTTAAAAGACACACAGCATGGTAAAAATAAGAGAACAAAACGTATCTGCGTGCAAGAGAGAAAGAAAAAAAGGAAGGTAAGATAAACACAGTGGAATTGAAAGAATGGGCGCACACACCGTTTCCCTCCCGCTACTTATTGTTCCGTTATTCCACCTGACGGCAGTTCTTGCACGGAGAGTCTCCCTACTTTTTCCTCCTTTTTAACGCATTCCTTTTCTTTATTCTTCCTTTACACCTTCGTACTTTCTTCGTCCCAATGTATTGTTCATGCCTCATTTTACGGAGAGGTGCGGGTATATAGATACATATACACGTATATGTGGATCTGTTTCCCTCAGGATCTCGTTCCAGCCACTGCGAGGAGCCGTGTGTGACGGTGGAATAGCACAACATCCACCTTCACAACACTCATGCACACCCGTACGTGACTCATACTCTCGTGGTGCCTCCTTCCTCCCTCCCACCCCCACCCCTCAGCCGCAACATCTATATATATATATATAATAAAGTGTTATTTAGCGAGTTTGGATCGGCGAATCAGGAGATCCACCTGGTTCTGCTCTGCGCGATACACGAAGAACGGAAAGAGTGCAGGAATAACGCAGAGAATACTGTACGCCACAATTTCACGGGCATATCGCTTATGTAAACGATCGTAGCGCTCCCGCGTCACAACCGAAACAACACCACGAAAACTCTCGTCGTCGTAGTTATCCCCCAAAAAGTATGCATTGCCCTCGCGGATGACATTGCTGTACGCCTTTTGTGTGGCAGGCATCCCTTTCTGCAGGGCATATGTCACCTCAGCGACACCAACGGGGTAGTTTCCAAGGTCTTTCGGTGTAACGGTGTATTTTAGCACAGCAGTCTCCCCAAAGGAAAGAATGTCTACACGTTTTGTACGTGTAGTGCCGTCTACCAACAGGTCTGTGATTGTGACATTCACTGCAGGGCTCTGGCCGTAGTTATGAACACTGACGGTGAACTCCACGCTGCTGTCAGCTACCACGTAATCATCTGAGACAGACTTGGAGACAAAGAGAAACGGCAGCGCATCGGACTGCGCCTCGGAACCCACAGCTGTGGCAGCGAATAAAGCAAAGACAAGTAGCACCCACCGCATGACTTGCATATTCCCTTTCTTGTTTTTGCTTTTTGTGGCTTCTTAAAGAAAAATCCAAAAGGGGAGGGGGGTTCAATTATCATTCTTAGGCACCACAGCGAATGCGGAATAGACGATCCGTGGCCATGTGAAAGCAAAAAGAGAGAGGGAGCTAATCTACACGCAAAAGAACTGTCGCAAGGAGTTCCTCCAAGTCTGGATAGCTAAGGCGGCGAAGGGCCCAAAATCACGCTTTGCCGTGTCCAAACGGACTAAGTGTGAACGAAACTCGCCGCACGTGATGAAGCACAACCCCTCCCAATACAAAAAAAAAAATATTACAAAACAGTTTAGGACGCGAGAGACATATAGATATGCTGCCCAAGCACTTACTTCGGTTCTGGACTCTCTTCGCGTTCTTTTTTTTTCTCATTTTTCTGTCAGCACTCATAACCGGAGGCTCTCCAATCTTTCGACTGTGACGTGATGGAGGGGAATGCGATGCTCCTCCAGGCGGGCGCACAACTTCTCCATCCCATGAATATTCCCCATGTGTCCAAACACCTCGCGCGCCGGCTGCGCAATCTGTCCAATGTCAACAAGGTGGTCCATTCCTCTGGCAACAAAGTCCCAATCACCGATTTCCACCGCATGCGCCAGTAGCGGCGCCACAACGTCCGCATCACCAAGAACGCGTGCATTTTCCAAATGCTCCGCGAGGTGCTGCAGGCTACATCCGCCGCGAAGAATATGGCGCAGCGCAAGATCGAACGGCACTGAATTTTTTGGACACGCCGAGATAAGAAGAAGCGCCTTTTCCCAATCCAGCTCTTCAATCAGCGGCCACAAGGTCATTACGTCGCTACGATTGACTCGCACGTTGCGAAGAAGCTCCACCGCAACGTCCCAACGCTGCTGAGACAACGCCACATGCACGAGATTACAACGCGTCACGGTCGCGAATGGAAAATTGTCCACTAGCTTCGTTTCCCAGTCTTCTCCAGCTGCCTTCAACAACACAGCACAAGCCTCGGCTGTGGCTATCTGCTGTGTTACGCTTGAAAGCCGGGCGCCCATCAGAGCGGCACTAATCGTTTTGGAGTCACCCTTGTTCAAAGCCTCCCAGAAAACACTCCACTCAACCTCGTCTGGTGCTTTTTTCTGTAAAATGGCAGACAGCCGTATCTTCTCATTAAATCGGCTCTTTACGTCATCCACCCGTACACCCGTCGCATGCATGATGGCCTTCAAGAGGTCAAAGGTGTCTACGGGGGGTGCGTGATACGGGTGTCGCTGATACACGTGGAGCGCCTTCACCCAGTCGCCTGTCTCAAGAGAGGTGTGAAACAGCTGCGGCAGCGGCACCGCCCTCCACACCTTCTCGTTTGACGTCTTTCTTTGCAGTCGACCGGAAACCGCCCGCATCCTCGGAGCAAAGGCCACAAAGCAGAAATCATTAAAAATCCCAGCAAGGCAAGACAAAAAAAAAATCAAACAGAAAGGGGGAGGTAAACTGTAGAAAGAGCAACAATAGAAAAACGTTGGAGGCAAGAAAGAAAGAAGCAGATAGCAACAACAAAAAATAATAATAATAATAATTCATGTGTGGCGGCAAACAAACGTCAACCCTCGTCTCACTCAAAAAGGATTCCTACACACCTCACCATGCGGTCACAGACGCCAAACACGCTCTACAACGGGTAAATTTATACATGACAGAGAACTCCGCCCCCAATTCTACCCAGGGCCCACAAGATAAGAGCATGGTGGTGACAGGAGCATTCACATAAACATCTGTTTTCTCGCCAAAGGCAAAGAAATGGGGGAAAAAACAAAACAAGCACATGCACACACGCGCGCAGACAAAGAAAGAGAAAGAAAAAAGAAGTTATTACTTTGTAATGCCGTACTGTTTTTTTTCATCCACTGTTAGTACATGTGCTGGCACGAATTCGCCCAGTCGTGGCAAATAATCTGCAAGAAGTTGAGCACGTGCACGACGAATGTATTCTAGTAGTTCCTCTTCACGTTTCTTTTCATGTTCCTCGACAAGAGCAGCCTGACGCTCCTCCTCCCGCTTGAGCTCCCTACGTGCCTCAAGCATCTTTTCTGCTTCCAGTATGTGTTCACGCTTCAGCTGCATCTGGCGTTCCCGCGACAACCGATCCAACTTGGCCTTCCGTGCGAGATCTTCCATCATCAATTGGCGCAACCTGATTTCTTCCGCGCGCTCCGCCTCCTTTTCCTTCTGGTGAGCCTGAATGAGCTTCCAATTCTCCTCCTTCACCGCCTCTGCAAATCTCTCTCGCGCCTCCTTTTCGTCCTTCATTGCTTTGCGCTCCTTGATCAGACGCTCAGCCTCGTAGTAATCATTTAACAAACTCTCCAGCTCATCCCGTTTGGCTTGCTCCTCCGCAATCTTCTTGCTCTGTTCCTCAAGAATTCTGCTCTTGGTGGCTTCCCTCTCTCGTGCCAACTTCGCGTCTGTTTCCTTCCGACGGCCTTGTTCAGCGATATAGGCGTTGATGGCCTCCTCTTCCCGTAACTCGCGCTGTCTTTCTGCTTCCTTAAGCTCTTCACGGAGTCGGTAAAACTCATCGTGTTCAGCTTGTAACTTTCGTTGTTTTTCACGCCGCTCCAAGGCCTCAAGAAAATCCTTCTCATGGACCCGGGCCACTACTGCATCAACCGCTATGCGCTCCTTCCGTCGTTCCTCAGCCTCTCGTTTAGCAACGGCTTGTCTTTCCTCAATGAGATCCATTTGCGCCGCCTGGTGCCGCCTAAAGACCTCAATTTCCCTTTTACGACGTTCTTCCTCCTTGGCCTTTTCCAGCTTATTTTGCTCGTTCAGTTGGGCAATATAGTCTTTCTCTTCCTGCAACTGTTGCTCTCGTAATTGCCGTATCTCTTCCACCTGATCCTTGCGCCCTTGCTTCGTCAAGGCATGCTTTAGTTGCCTCTCCAGGTTCTGAAGCTCCGGAAATGTGCGGACAAGTTGAAGCATTTTTGCGTCCAGTAAATCAAGGCGCTGCTCCTCCGCCAGCTGCTTTGCAAGAGCCTCGTCGCGAGCTGCGGCGTTCAACTTCCTTTCCCGCCTCGCCTTGAACTCTTCCTCCTCCCGCAGAAGGGCAAGCTCTGCCTGCACCGCCTTGTAGCGGTTGACACGGCGGAGCCGCTCGACACGCGCATTGTTCGCGTCCATCACGTTTGCCACCTACACCAACAACAGAAACGGCAGCAATGCATAGAAGAAATGTGGTGAGATAAAAAAGAGCAAAATGCAGAAGGACTAAATAAATAAAATCAGCGTTTCTTATGAATATTAGTAATTGTGGGGTGCTGAATATAATAAGGAAGAGAGAAAGGCTCAGGCGATAAGTGAATAATCAGGACAACACTGAGACGATATAGAAAAACAAAAAAAGAATGATAAAGTTTCATTTCTTTTGTTAGGGTCGATGCTGTCGCGCTCGCTCTCTCTCCTCTCTCGTGTTCATGCTGCCCTCCTTCTCGTTTTCTTAAAGGGATAAGACACGACGAATGTCAATTACGCAATTTTCAACGCCTGCCTTGTGCCCCTGCACCCTCACCGTCACCGTATCGTTAGAACAGACAACAGACACCGCCACCTTGTGTCGATCCCGCAGCTGCTGCAGACCATCGCCACGGGAACCGGTAAGAAGTCGCAGTCTTCCGTGCGGCACCGGAACAGAGAAGTCGTCCATTGGAACCTCCACGAGAGCTTTTGAATGCGGCACCAATAACGTCTTGGAGTGTTGGGGGGACCCAATAAAATAATCAGGCATCATAGACCGCTTGACGACATCCAATGCCTCCCGCAGCATACGCATCTCCACGCGCTGCTCCGCAAGAGCAGCCTTCACCAGCGCCGCATCCTCTTGCAGGTTTGGGTCAAACTGATCGGCCAAGCGCATCACCTGCATATACTCCTCTTCCAGTTTCTGCTTCTCATTGAGAACGCCCCCAATAACAACGGATGATTCTTCACAGGCACGCTTGTAAAGCTCCTTCGCTTCCTCTATCTGGGCCTGAAGTAATTTGCTCTGTTGATCGAGAAGTACATGTTCCTTCTGCAACTCAGAGAGACGACGACGAATGGGCTCCACCGCGTCACCCTGTGCGGTAGTCGAAGTGACAGAAGCCTCCAGTACTAGTTTGCGTGACACTGCACTGTGCCATTCCACCTGCAGCACGCGCAATTCCTCTAGTAACGCTATGTACTCGTGATGGAGGTTTTGATATAAACCAGGAGGGCCACTGCAAGTGGTTGGCATCATGTACGCAGACGTCTATCCATCGAGAGATACGATAGTGGCTCAGAAAAAAAAAGGAAAAAGAATGCAAACGCAACAGGGCACAGCCACAACAACAACAAGAGCGATAACAGCCCACATCAACAAGCAATATTATACATAAGCAAGAAAAAAAAACGTACAACGTACTTGTCCCCCACCCCACTCCACCCCACCCCAAAAAAACAAAAAAGACAAAGGAAAGGAAAAGGAAAAGAAGTATATTGTTATGATCAATGCATAAATATTAATTCGATATGCATCATCACGGAAGCCCAAAGCGACTCCCAAAAAAAATTATAAACATTCAATCACTGATAAGTCGGTATTGAAAGCATATTTTACACGATTCTCGCGCAGAGGCGGAGGCGGTTCGTTTTTGGTTGGAGAGCTCCTAATATTTACTCCTTGCAAAGGTCTCTATGCAAAAATAAAATAAAATGAAAATATATTTTTAAGGAGGTATACTTGGCATCCGTAGTGCACGACAATTCCCCTCGTGGGCCCTCAGTATTTAAAAAACACGCTGTGCAGCAACGACTCGGTAGGTGATGATACATAGGCCACCAAATTCGATTAGACTGTGTGGAAAGCGATCTCCAGGACAGCCCATAAACATAAGGTTGCGTGGCACGCCAAGCTCAGTCGAAATGTCGTAGACAGCTCTTGGAGTGAATGGAGCAAGCACAAAGAGAAGTTATATTGCCAGTTTTGGGTAAAGTTGATCAACAATGGCACAACAGGTTTCCATTTATTGCACTGCCGTGCGCCCACTTCTAGTGTTCAATGCCACAAACATTCCCCGCCTTCTCTTTGCCGTGTATGCACTTGTTTAACAAGTTTCCCGTCAATGCCATGCTGGAGTCGGGTTAGTAGTTTGGCCCCAGCATATCGACGACCATTACCGTGTGTGTGCCCTCATTGCCAATAATGTATTGAATAACTTTATTCAGCACGTCAATATATGGCTGCTTCGCAAAGTAGACCACCGAAAAACACCGCAGCGATCCAACAATGGCTCTCATTTTCGCCTTCATGCGAGGGCATCGCTCGGGGATGAGGGCGTGTGACAGTCAATACACAGAAATTCGCTTCCGTGTGATGAACACAATGGACAACAGAACAGCAAAGTAGATGACCAAGTAAAGGGCATGCTGAAGCGCGTGTAAAATGTTGCCCAGGAGACCCACCACCAACAACAACGATGCCAGCAACGCAATAAAGGGTAAATTGTGAAATATCTTGGTAATTTGCCGCGCTCGTACTTGAGGAACAAATAAGCTGCTTTTACACACAATAACATCAGTACACTTAGGAAGGACACAGCGCAGACGCCTCCAAGTGCAGACATGTCATTAACGAGAAGTCGTAGCGAGCATGATATTAGGCCAAAAACCAATGATGATAAAATGCGGGATCCCGTGCCAACGATTTACAAATAAGAAAAAGGCTGGCATGATACAGTCAAGGGCCATTCGTCGGTGAAGATCCTGGATACCAATGTATGCAATAATGACAGCCCCCGACAACACCAAGACAGCATCCACAACAACCAGCTTTAACCACTCACCCACTGTTGTTTGTGCCAATAGAGCCAAACTGAAAGACGGGCTTTGCACCAAGTTTCCAATGGGAATAAGACCCCCCGCAAGTACAGCCAACTTTGAAGTCACCATAGTCACAACAAACCTGATATTACGAAGCGTCTTTGGATATAGTACTGGCAATTAATCCTCAACGTAATGGGGTCTTGGTTTCAAAGCCTGTCACACCCAATAATAGACTGCAATACCCAAAGAAAACACAACTGACCCAATTATTGTACGGATTAGCATCTGCAGAGGAGGAGTTCCAGCTATCACTGAGCACCCGACCATGGCTTTTTGCAATGTAAACGAAAGCAGAAATGAGTAGCATCAAAAGCGTCGCCATATGAAACAAAAAAAAACAAAAAAAACAACTCCGGTTGCCGCATAGAAAGACTCCTTCACGCCTAATAGAGTCATCATGGCAAAAACGCCGAAAATACCCATAGAAACCCATTTAGACGGTATCGCATTCCATTTAAATTGAAGATAGTCCCCAGCAGATGCAGCACTTGTTACGGTTGTTTCAATGTAACTGAGGGTGGACAAAGTAGCTGACTGAGCTGCCCAGTTTTTATCAATAGTGTTCAGCACGGCATTGTAAGTGCCACCATTCATGGGAAGAGCGCCAAACACCTCCGCGTAAATCCCACAAGAAAGGTACAAAATAATAGAAACAAACACAGAAGCAAAACACGAAAAACGGCCGGGCATAGAGACAATTATCCCAGTTGTGTAGAGACAAGATGACGTAATGTCATTCCCTGCAATCGCGGTTGCCCGTAGCTGCCCCAACGTCGGTTGTCTTACCCCAGGAATTTCAAAATCGTCCTCGTTAAAATTTGTCGCCTCTTCAATATCCCTCTCTTTCTTGGGAAAACCAGATTCACTACGGCCAACGGACAACAGAGGCGCATCCTGCAGTACTCCAGTGCCCCGCTTTCTGTAAAAAAACAGCGCCCCGTGGTGCCAGTTCCCATGCATGTCTGTAAACGCCTCCCTCGCAGAGTAGTTGTTTGGTACGGCCTTTGACGAATTTCAAACTCCCGCAATGTAGACGTAAATTCCCTTGCACTGTCGAACGATCACGACACTAAAGCTTTCCCATGGGTCATTATTTGTCGTGCATTTAATTCTAAAATAAGAAAAGAAGGAAAGAAGAAGAACATTTCTTCCTCAGTTAGACACAGCCCGCGTGGGTGTCACTGGAGCACAATAGAAAAAAAGAGCAAAAATAGGAATAGCCCAAAACCATTTCCAGGCCCTCGTACCTCCCACCCACCCCTTTTTGGTATAGTAATTCCTGGAAAGCACTTGCGCCACAAACAACGTAACACCTCGCCAATTAGAGAGAAAGTACAAAAGGATAATAAACAACAAAACATTAAAGGGTTTTCATCCCATCTTGTGAGACCCCACTGTGGCTGCTCCAGTTGGATACTTCAAACATTTCCGTCTCTAAAGGTAGGAGTGGGACGTCGGCTCGCTCTAAGTTTTCTTCAAGGTCCTCTAAGGGTACCGGCGAAGGGTTACGATCCTCTGCAAAGGCTTCAGCGTACTCCCTGCCCTCACTACGGCCGTAGATCGCGACCGACGAACTGCCACAATGGTACAGGACCATTAGTGGAAAATCCTTTGAAGCGCAGTGGCGACCATGAAGAGTGGCTATGGCACACTCCGCCATCCACAGCACCATGCGTCACTTCCACATACTGATTGGAGCCTTCGTGGAGCATCTCGGCTTGTTTCACTTGGTCATAGGCAAGAAAAAGACGTTCAGGGTATTGGACGTTTATGACCGTGGACAGATTTCCAACGAGCAATACCGCAGTAGTAGACATGAGAAGCCTAAATGTGTCGCTCCACTCTGTATCTTTGTCTGTGTTTGTGAGGGGGGAGAATATGTGGCATTTTGTGTATTCAAAGTTCATGTTCATTGCCCGTGCGAAGGACAAAATAATAGAAAGGGAAAAGATAACGCACAGAGCGCAGTACGGCGGATGCTAGGCCAGGGAAACAGAGGAAAGGCTGGAATTGCATAAAGACGTACCTTCGCTTTTGCTTGGAACCTGCGCCCTTTGCAAGTTTTTCATTCCTACCTTACCCTTTCTCGTTCCCCTCCCTCTGTGTCTTTCCTTTCCTCCCACACCGATTTGCTCATTCCCCTCGTCACAATCCATCTGAATAAATGCAAACAAAGGAGAAACAACAACAAAAACAATTTATCGCACATTCACCATGCCACTTTCCATTACTTCCCACACTCCAAAGAAGAACACACACACACAAAAAAAAAAACCTTAAAAAACAGAAGCCCAAAGCAAAAAAAACATGGGTGGCCAGAGAAACATCACCCGTCGCCTCTAGTTCGAAAACGTCCTCCTTGCCTTTTGATGACTTACAAACGTGAGTTGAAAATATTTACAAACACTCTATATGCAACGGGGGCCACTTCATCATCACCATCACCGGGCAGAATAAGTTTTTACAACAGGCACAGCTTTGTACAGCACCCGTTTGTTTTCTTTCAAGCTATGCGAGCCAAAACACGGCCCGTCCCTCTCCAGAGACAGTGAGGAGGGAGGAAGCAGTGAATTCCTGATGATTTACCCAACAACGGCGTAGTTGACATGTTGCCATGAACGTCACTCCCCATTTTTGTTTACTTGCCTCCACGATTGGCCCACCTTTTCCACTGTTCCTCACACCAGCTTTCACAACAGCAACCAGACGAACGTATTCATCGACAGTGTCTCCTTTTTGTTCGTTTGTTGTGCATTGCTGTTTAGGTTCTTACCCTCTTGGTCCATTTACCTCCCACTCAAAAAACCTCTAGCTCAGACGTGTGGTTATTATTACTGTCCCTCAGTAGGTCGGAGTAGACTGGCTTGATTTGTGTGTGTGTGTGTGTGTGTAAGTATGTATGTAAGTGTGTGTAAGTGTGTAAGTGTGTAAGTGTGTAAGTGTGTAAGTGTGTTTTGTTGTCGTTGTTTCTTGTACCTCATTTGTGTTTACGGTTCAGGCGCATGTGGGCGCTTAAGAGATGGCCCGCAGACAATCCGGACATGAGAGAAAGCTCAGCTGACAGTACACCTGCGGCAACGACACGTGAAAGCAACTGCGCATTTGCACCTGGCGATTCCTTGCTCGAACCGCTGCATCCTATTAACTCCAGACAGCCTCGCTGTGCCCCCAGTCCTGTGCCACCCCCAACCGTACCAACCTCAATGCTTGGCATTGTCACTGAGATAAGAAGATCATCGCCCAACTTTGACATGCTTGTAAGGCATGCTGAGGACTCCACCACTTGTGCTGGGTCCTGCCCAGTGGCAAGGAAAATGGCAGCAACGGCATTCGCAGCTTGGGCGTTAAATCCGCCAACAGATCCCGCCATGGCTGAGCCAACCAGATTTTTGTCAACATTAAGTGATACAAGGCTGTCAACTGTACATTTTAGGGTATCCTCAACGATGTTACCTAGCACTGTGGCCTCTGCGATGACTGACTTCCCACGTCCGTCAATCCAGTTTACCGCGGACGGCTTCTTGTCAGTGCAATAATTGCCTGATAGGGCAAGTGCCTTCATCGAAGGAAACTGTGTTTGCAGCAGTGACAGGGATTTATCCACACCTTTTGTAATCATGTTCATTCCCATAGCATCACCCGTAGTAGCGCGGAAGCGGAGGTACGCCTTGCGCCCTGCCAGCACACACTTCAGCGAGTTTAGCTTCCCAAACCGTGTTGTAGACTCGAATGCTTCCTTTATTGATGAGAAATTTTCGTTGCAGTACTTGTGAAGCTTTCCGGCTTCCTCTAGAGATTCAAGCTCCACTACAGGGGCCCTCGTCATGCCTTCACCTAACAGGAGCGTCTTGCACCCACCTGATTTTGTTATGGCTCTGGCACCACGATGGATGCTGGCCACAAGCGCCCCCTCCGTTGTGGCTAGAGGAATAGAATACAGCTTCCCGTCCATGAGAATAGGCCCAGCAATACCAAGTGGAATTGGTAGATATCCAATGATGTTTTCGCAATTCTGGCCGACAACCTGGTCCCAGTCGTAATTCTCATAGGGGATAGCATGCAAGGCATTCTTTTTACTCTCACCATCTGGTTGCTGGGACGCAACGCTGGCGACAACATCACGCCGCACCTCAATGGCACGTTTGTAATCAGGCTGTAATGCCTGCTCCAAGCCGTAAAAATGAATTTTGCGGGAATTCACAGCATCCACAAGTTCGGCATTACTTAATTCACTCCATGGAATGCTCGCCGCACTGCATGCCAACGGAATTGCCCTACGAAACATATTTGCGTAGCAAGGTAAAGACGTTTCAAAAATATTTCTATGCAACAAGGCATAACAAATTTACCGAAACGAGCAATGAAAACAACAACAAGAGGAAAAATAGATACATAGATACATATGATAGGTAACAACATGAAGAAATTGGTCAAGCGTCTTTTGGATTAGGAGGATTGTTCCATCCCTCACCCCAAACAAGCGTAGAGGAGGTTGAAAACGCACAAAAACGTCTAAATAAAAAGATATAGAAAACCTAGAAAAAATCCAGGACTGTATTTTCAAAGGGTCAAACACTACTTACCAGCGGTGGGGCGAAATGCAACTTTCGTGACGAAGCGACGCTTGCGATTTTCAGTTGGACGAGCACGCACAACACGTTTGTGAATTGCGCACGAAATGCAAAAGCACTGCTTCATGTACATTTTTGGCATAGGGAAACCAGCACCGTATACCGGAGATGCCTCGGCCACGTCGCGTGCAGATGCCTGATCCAACAGTCTACGCACTAAAAAGCGGCCAATGGCTTTGTCCTTCGGTGTCAGCCGGCCGCAGTTAAAGCAGTGTAACGGCTTCGTGCGGCCTCGAGAGCAGGGTGGCTTGGCCCGGCCATGGTTACGGCGCTTCGTAGTCATGACTCTCTAAATACTGCACAAAAGCAAGAGGAACCAACAAAAAAAAAGCACAGGTAAAGCTAGAAACAAAAAACAAAAAAAAATCAGTGTCCCTACAAAAACAAACCCAAAACACAGATTAGTAATTTGAGCAGCGGAAGAGCTCCGATAAACCTAAGCATTCTTGCAAACAACGATAAGACAAATGAAAATTTTCGCTTGAATTTCTCCTTGGCTTCGAAGACTCTCAGCCGTCACAGCCAAGCGCACACACGCACACGCCCAGAAACACACCAACAAAATGGCGAAGGTATGAACCGTCCTTGCCTTAAGTACGGTGCAGAACTAGTTCATTGTTCATTAGATCTTATGACGAATCACTATCATCAAACAAAGAACTCTTTGGAGGAACCAATTTTCTTGACCTGGGCATGGTAGACCCTCTGGAAGCAACCGGAGGATTGGAGTCAGAATCTGAGTGACTGAAGGTAGGTCTTCCAACTGGAGAAGACAACTTCCGATTTTGCGGAGGTGCGATGTCTTCGTCAGAGCCTTTGTGCCGTTGATCTAATATGGATGTCTCAGGGGGCACGGCGAGAGATGTACCCTCATCTTCCGCCACATCTATCTCAGGCAAACCACCTCCAGCAGAAACAATACGTGACAGTGCGTGTTCTTTCTCTGGTGCGAGATCAGGCTTTACAAAGGACTCGCAATCATTTTCTTCCTGTTGAGTTAACTGAAACGCCTGCATCCGACCTTGGGGCGAAAATTGCTGTAGTGAAAACCCCTCCTTTAAAACTTCTTTCTGCTGTGATTTTGGGAAGTTTTTCGTCCACTCTGTAGATGTTGGTTTGCCAGTATCCTCCGGAACGACCTCTTTCACTTCTGTCGATGGCAAGCCGTTTGCTGTCGAGGCATCATCCTGTGATTTCAGTGAATTCTTTTGAGTGGTCAAGTCAAGAGCGGGATTCATACAAGTCAACTCCGACAACAGCTCTTGATAACGACGATTCATCTCATCTGGATTAAACTGGAGTACAGCCTCCCGTTGATAAAGTTCATCTTGAAGTTGTGAATCAACAATTTCTTCGGATGGTTCCGTTTCCTCCAAGAAAGGAACATCAGGCACATACGGAACCGGTGGCTCAGTCGCATACGGCGCACGCATGCGAGGAAACGGCACAAAAATTCCGTCCACCACTCCAGAAACCCACTCATTAACCTCTTTCTCTTCTTCCTTAAGAAGTATTTGGCGCTCTTCTTCTCTTTGCACCTCGAAGGCATAGCTAACATCCTTCTTGACTCGCAAGGAGTGTAACACTGCAAGAAGATCCTGCCTTCCCACAGGAAGAGATAGTTGTCCGATTGCGTCCTTAAGTTCTTGAAACGTATCATCTTCAACAGACACCTTTGCACTCTTTAAAGAGTCAAGCTCAGCTTCCATCTGTGAAGTTTCTCCTACGAGATTGGCAAGTGCCGCGCAAAGTGTTGAAGCTTGAGAGGTCAATCGACAAATGTCAGCTTCATTCTCTTCCTTTGTGCTCCTTAAACGAATGCGTATTGCCTTCACTTCAGCTTTGTGGCGCTGGGCAGCAAGAGCACAGTGCTGTGTAGCTGCATCCGCCTCAAGCAATGTCTCAGTCTGCCCGTCCTCTATGCCTTGAAAGCGGCCCCTATCAAAAGATTCATGTGCAACGATTTGGCGTTCTTCTTGATAGCGTCTGTCACGTGCAGCCAATTCATCAATAAATTCCTGTCGTAACTCACGCATATCTTCAGCCGCTTTACTGCGTTCATCCTCAATTAATTGCATGTAACGTATCTTTTCACTTTCAATTTTTTTCCTCTGCTCCTCCATCTGCCCTTCTTTCGCACGGCATTCCTCCAATAGAAAGCGAAGCTGATCCCCAAGAGCAATGGCCTTTGTCTCGAGAAGTTTTCGCCTGGCTTGTTCCTCTGCATATGTTTCCTCAACAGCTAAAAGCTTCGACTCATTGGTTTGAAATGCAACCATTGCCATTTGAAGATTTTGTTTTTCAGTTTTGATGTCCTGATCAGCAACTTGAAGAAGCCGCTTCACTGTTGAAAGATGGCGGGCGACATCCTCTCGCTCAGACTGCAAACGTGTTAACTGTGCCTGTCTTTGGGCTATTCTTCGATCCATATCTAACTTTTCCTCGTTAAAAGAAGTAATAGTACTTTTCTTTTCTTCTGCAAGTAAATTAGCGGTTTTACTAAACTTGTCAAGTTTATTCCGCAATTCCTTATTTTTCTCCTCCATTTGTTTCAGTGTTAAATCTTTTTGAGAGAGTAATTCCTTCCCTTCTTCTGTATCGGCCAAAAGCTTTTGGATAGAGTATTCCAACTGCGCACTTGCTAAACTCTGAGGTTCGGATTTTCGATTAAATGCCCTTACGTCATTCGACAAGACATCCAGCTGTCGTCGAGCCTCCTGTAACTGTTGAAAAAGCACCTGGACCTGGTCACGCATTCGATCAATAATCATTAACTGTTCCATATTGAAGCCTGGTGGTGGAGTGTTTGGGCGTCCAATCGCATAATCTTGGGTATTTGATAATAGCAATTTGGATTCACCCTTTAACTGATGAGACGAATGTTTCTCTAAGGGTATTGCAAGAGAGCTACAACTTTGTGCCACACATGGAATATTTTTTTTCTTTATCAAATGAGTGTAAAAACACATGTGCACTGAAGGTCCACTGCCACGTTTTGCTCGAGCAGGAATAATGATCACACGGGATCCCTCTTCCCCCATTCCTATAACCATCCCTTCAAAGCCTTTCATTTCAGGGGTAACACTCATATGATTAGCTGGAATAGTTAAGGTACAAGGTTTATCATCTTCCAAGTTGCCGTCCAACTTACTTCCGAGAATAGGCAGTCCTTTTCCTTCAGTTTCGCATTGAACCACCCAACTTTGATAACGCACCTTTACCACATCATTGGCAAAGACATTACGGTCACATTTCCCAATGGCAACATCACATGCAAGAATGCTCCGATCAGCATGACCTGATGCACCGTACATTGCCACAACCACATGTGAGCAGAACTCGATTGCGTGATTTGGACTCTCAAACTGCATAGACCAGCTTTTACCTTGCTCATCTCTGAAAGAAACATAGCCTCCAGGTTGTAATGCGATACATGCACCCGTTTCGTTATTGGTGGTAATATTTGCCGTACATACGTACTCGTTTCTCTCATTGTAGCAGCCCAACTTGTACAACGGAGGGTTGTCCAAGGTACCAACTATGGCGCACCCAACGGGTCCACATTCTTGGTATTGAGACGTGTCTGATAGAAAAAGAAATAGGTGCACCCTTGTTACGCAGGTGTGCTGCGTCGCGGACATACTCTTTTACAGAAACAAAAAAGAAGAAGAAGAAGAGAGAGAGAGAGAGGGTATAGTACAGCAGAAAATAATAATACAGATATTCTACCAAAAACACAAAAGCCAAGTTCATGTTTGGTTTTGTTGTTTACCAAAAACGTAAATAAAGAAGGAAGGAAAGAACAAATGTATTTCTTTTTTTCCCTCCTCACACTGTAGATTAATGTCAAAAAAAAATGTTTTTTTTTCTTTGATCGATAGGGCGAATAGACTTAATATGCATTTACAATGTAAGCCATTCCTCCTCATTTGTTGATTTCATAAGATAGCAAAAATCAACATCTTTGGAATCTAACTTTTTCTGATACATTTCAAGCCAAGGCGCCAAAATCCGCTGCTCTGCATCTGATATTCCAAGAACCACCTCATTGATCCGGCAAATAGAGTCTTTGTCAAGGTAGTTCGGAGGCAAAAGGAGGTTCCGAACACGCACATCTGAAAATGGAATGCCCAGAACAAAACTAGCACGACGTGCTATGCCCTCCATTTGCTTCCTATGAGGCAGCTGACGATTGCGAAGCCAAAAATTATCCGATGCAATGATAATAAGAGTAATATCAGCTCCCTTCACAAAAACGAAATCCGGAAAGCCCTGCACGTGTTCACCAGAAACCAAAGACTCTTTACTATTACCAAAATCAAAAAGAATTTCAGCAGGCTTTCCCGTTCCAAAAAATAAACGACCTGTTGTTGTCGTCTCCTGTGATGATCGAGAAATCATACATTGAAGGTATTGGCGCAGTGATGAACGATATCCCTCAATAAGGTTAAAGCCTAGGAAGTCGTAAATGATAGCTATTTGAGGATATGTATTAACAATATGAGCCATTAGTTCACTAAAGGCATTTGATTCATTAATATATATTTTTTTAGTTGTAGGATCTTCCATAATGTAGTTTGAGAAGGCATTCTCAAAGGAGCCTTGTAAGCCAAGTCCATAAATGCAACATAGTCGTTCTAAAAGCATATGATCCCGTGATCCGCAAACTTCTAAACGCAAAAAAGCGTCACGCAATTGTGTTGCTTTGTTGACCTCACCTACCCAACGCAGTTTTGCTGCTTCCTCTTGAAGCCATAACCGATTCTTCTCTCTAATTGTTTCCTTTGGTAAGCTTGTAATGGAGGAAATCAGTTCGAGGTCCGCATCTACAGCATCTCTACATTTCCTCCAGTTAAAGAATAAGTCCTTTAGTAGTTCTTGTTGTTGACGTATTACTTCTTTTTCATGTGCTGTGATAAGAGGCGGAATTCGCATCTGCCATTTATTAAGCTTCCACCTAAAAATTTTTTCCTCTACCTCCTCCAAGAGGTCCAGTTCGTTACGTGTTTTGCCCCAATTCCGATAGAGCGAAAAAATTTGTTTGTGACTCAACGGAGCAACATCATATGTTGCATGCGCCCTAATTTGGATTTTATTTAAAGTGGAAAGGCAGCAAATTGACCTCATACTCTTCATGTCATATAATAAGCTAAACCCAACTAAGAAAAAAATATATACAAAGGATAAAAGAGAAAAAGCAAAAAAAAAGTCATTATTTTTATTATTTTGCAGTTGGTACATAAAAAAAAACAGCACATATGGAAACATATCACAGAAACACAAACATTGAATCTTTCGTTACAGAGTCATCTATCAAACTGTTTCATCTGATTCCTGCCAACAAGCAGCCGCATCATCTACTAAAAACTGGCTACATCGGCATTACACATACCGAAACCACGATTAGTACAAACACTATTACTTCTACTGCGCTACGCCTAAACATGAAGAAGACCCATTGGCACAATCCCCGAGAAAAATTCAAAAGCTGAAAAGACAACACTATAAAAGCACAAAAAATGACATTCAAAAAGATTCCTTTGAGTGTATGTGACGCAACCACTCACCATCCAGTGCACTGCCTCCGCATTCAGTGTAATGATTATCCATCCAGAAATGCATCGTACAATCTAGAAAAGGCTTATCACCATATTTGCCATGATATTGGGTCGCAAGCCACCTCGGTGAGCCAAATGGGAAGATGAAGTAACATGGGGAAAACTACAAAAGTAAACGTCGAAGCATTTCTCAGGTTGTCTTGTACTTTCGAGTATCACGATCTATCCATAATTCCTGCCTGCCTCATCCCCAAAACATCCAAAAGTTTAACTGATATTGAGGAAACAATGATGTATTGGGTGCTTCTCTAGCATAGTTGAAAGGATACTCTGCACACTTGGACATTTCAAACTCCTTATAGCGATATAAGGATCTCGAGCATCTTAGTAATATTGATGCGTCCCTAAAAGAAAAAAAAATATTAGTGCTCAGAAATATCTATCTACAAGTATAAAAACGAAAAAGCAAGATTAATTGAACGAATCAAAACTTTTTTTTTGGGTTTCGTGTTTTCCAACACAATAAGCATAAAAAAAAACATCAACCTCATGACTAAAAAAGAAAAAAAATCTTTTTTCAATAACATTTTTTTTTTTGGCTATCTATCTTCATCAGTCGCGTCAAAAATGCCTTCACCTAATTTCCACCACGCTAAAGTATAAAACATGTGAAGATCATGATGTTTATCCACCTCATTGAGGTCGCTCCAATTATCGCCTGTGATGGGCCAATGGTACATTGACCGGTACGTAGAAAAATACCACGGAATATTTTGATCCAATTTTTTCACAAACCCAGGCTCTTTCATTCCATGAGGAAACTCACCCCTCGTGGTCAGTTCAAGGTCCGCGTATTTCATTGCCAAGCGTCGACATCTTCGCAACATGGCCACCTTTCCACCTACCAGAGAAAAAAAATGATAATAGAGCAGATACATAAACTGAGACGGCAAAGATAAAGCAAACATCCACATAAAAAGAAAAAAAATACAAAAACATTTGAATTAGGTCACTCGGGGAGGGGGATCCAGACATCATATCTAGCAGGTGATCTAAAGCAATTATATATGCAAATGCCCATATAATACTAATGATGGTAATAATAACAGCGAAAAACGAGGAACTCACATGACAAAAATTCTGCAAAAACGTCAGACAAAACCAAGCCTCAACACCGCACCCCAAGAAAGAGCCACACCAAACCAAAACAAACTGAAAGAAAAAAAACACCAGGCGGCAAGGGGGCAGAAGCCTCCCACGGATCGTAGAGGGTTCTTGTCCCCCACCCCGGCCGCGCTAGGCTGAAACTGGGGGGCCCGGCAGACCCGGGAGAAGCCGTGAGGGCGACCCCCCTCTACACGGCACGGCCCCGCCCATGTTTTACGGTGGTTTTACAGCGGCGTTGGATTTTTGTCTCTTGTTCAGCGGGGCCCTGGGCCGCCAGCGTCGGTGGGGGGGGGCGGATCCACAGGGGGTCGGCCGTGGTTGCGAAGGGTTTTCCGTTTCACTCCATCGTACTTCGCTCATTTGGAGTGAGGTCCATCGTCAGAGTTGCTTTGTTGGTTTGCGACGCCAATGGCAGAAAAAGGTTGAGGATTCCGCGGATATTATTTCGAAACGTATTTGCCTTGAAAGTAAAATGTTGTGTTTGTAACGAAATGCTTTGCATCTAAAGTGTTTTTGATTCCTCTTATTTTTTTTATGTGAGTTATTAATAGACTACTTGATTCTCAAGTGATAAGAAAACAAAACATTTCTTTCTGAAAAACATTTGTTTTTGTTTTTGCGTTGAATTATATAGAAGTATATAACACACTTGAAATTAGTATATATAGCTGGGTTTCACTGTGGGGGCCTTATTGTTATTATATATATATATAATGTTTTTACTGTTTTTTTTTTTGTCATCACTGTAACTTTTCTTTGTTGTTGTTGTGTGGGAATACTATTTGAGTTTTATGTATAGGTTTGTAAAACGCTTAGGTGATTTTATTACGGTAAAGGCATCGCTTCTAGACAGAAATCGTTTTTTTCAAAGATTCGTCCATATGTCCGCCTCAAATGCAGTGGAGTCTGATAAACTTATTTTAACAGATGCTGAAGAAGGGATGGTTGTTACGCGTTTTCCTCCTGAAGCTAGTGGTTTTCTCCATATTGGGCACGCGAAGGCAGCGCTCATAAACAGTATGCTTGCCGCCAAGTTTAAAGGAAAACTTATTCTTCGCTTCGACGACACCAACCCTTCGAAGGAGAAGGATCATTTTGAACAGTGTATTCTAGAAGATATAGCAGCTCTCGGTGTTACATGGGATTTTGGTCCGACGTTCTCTTCAGATTACATGGATGTTATTTATGAAAAAGCAGAAGAACTTATTAACAAGAATCTTGCATACTGTGATAAAACACCGAGGGAGGAGATGCAGAAATGTAGATTTGATGGAGTCCCTACCGGGTATCGTGAGTTGGGGATAGAGGAAACAAAGCGTTTATGGAACGAAATGAAAAACGGAAGTACTGAGGGCCAAGAGACCTGTTTAAGGGCGAAAATTTCCGTCGATAATGACAATAAGGCCATGAGAGATCCCGTGATTTGTAGGTTTAATGACACACCTCATCCTAGACAGGGAACAAAGTACAAGATTTATCCGACGTATGATTTTGCTTGTCCAATTATTGACTCCGTTGAAGGAGTTACACATGCTTTGCGAACTAATGAGTACCATGATCGTAATGACCAGTATTACTGGTTCTGCGATGCTTTGAATATACGGAAACCTATATTGGAGGATTTTTCAAGATTAAATATGGAGTACACTGTGATGTCGAAGCGCAAGTTGACTCAACTTGTGGAAAAAGGTGTTGTGGATGGATGGGATGATCCTCGATTTCCAACGGTGCGTGCCTTGATCCGGCGTGGATTAAAAATGAATGCCTTGAGGCAGTTTGTGCAGGCACAGGGCATGTCAAAGACGGTTAATTTTATGGAATGGTCAAAGCTGTGGTTTTTGAATACTCAAATTCTAGATCCATCGGTTCCACGCTATACGGTCGTATCAAATTCATTGAAGGTTCGTTGTGTTGTAGAAGGGCAAAAACACCTCGAAAGATGTGAAAAACCACTTCATAAGAAGGTTCTACAACTAGGTACTAAAACGTACTTTAAATCGGATGTTATTTTTCTTGATGCCGAAGATGTTGCTCTTCTTAAGGAAGGCGAAGAAATTACGCTGATGGATTGGGGAAATGCGTACATAAAGAACATTCGCTCTGCTGGTGAGTCGCCTACTATAACAGATGCCGATATCGTTTTACATCTTGAAGGTGATGTAAAAAAGACGAAGTATAAATTAACATGGGTTGCAGAGAATCCAAATGCAGAGGTTATGGAGCTTGCAGAATATGATCACCTTCTTACGAAGAAAAAACCTGATCCTGAAGAGAAGATTGATGATCTCATTGCTCCCGTGACAAAGTTTGCTCAGGAAGTATACGCAGAGGAAGCTGCTCGAGCTCTTCAAAAGGGTGATACAATTCAGCTTGAACGTCGGGGGTATTACATTGTGGATTCTCTGACACCAAAAAAGGTGCTTATCTACATTCCAGATGGACGGGACAAAGTTAACCATTTGAGTGCCAAGGCACAGTATTTGAAGTCTATATCAAAGGATGGCCGGTCTTCCGCTGCAACTGATTTGGATGCAAAAAGAGCTGCTAAAGCTGCAAAGAAAGCTTTACAAAAACAAAACTCCAAGAAACCAGTTACTGGTGTCACACACACAAATAACTAATGTGGTTTTTGTTTTGTCCTCATCGTTTTATTATTATTATTATTAAATGAATAAAAAGAAAGTGAAATTTTACAGAAACGCAGAGAATATAATAATAATAATAATAATAATAATAATAATAATAAAGGTAGAAAAAGAATGAGCGGTTTTATCTTATTAGACAAATGTATTGTTTGATGTTACATTTCTCTTTTGTTTCTCGCTGATTATGCGCATATAGATATGTGTTGCAACTGTTTTTCCTTTATTTTGTATATTTTTTTTCACTTCTTGTTTTTTTTTCTTTTTGCTGCGTTTGCGTGGATATTTATTTATTAAACGGGTGTTGGAGATTGTTATTATGCCCCCTAAACGGTTAATTCGGTTTGAAGATTTGGGGCTTTCAACACCATTGCCTTGCGTATTATCAAAGACTCGCGATCAAAAAAAAAGGAAAAACATGAAATTAAAAAGGAGAAGACTGCACGGCTTAAAGAAGCAGAGGAACGACTGTCTTTAGTCAAGGGTACAGTAGAAAAGCACAAGGCTTTTGTGAAGAAAGAAATAGCCTTTCAAAAAGAAATAAAAACCGAAAGAAGAAGGGCACTCTCCACTTTGCAAGAATGTGTCAGACATAAAAGGGAAACAGAGGAGACAATTCAAAAAGAGAAGTTGCTGGTTGCACAAAAAAATTATATTTCTAGGTTGACAGTAGATTGCGCATTACATGAAAAAATAAAAGTAGAGGTTCAAGAAGCTATTGACCGAGAAATCAACGCGCTTGTAAAATCTGTTCCTCAAAATGTGCATGTTCCAGTAGATCGTAACCCTGAAATGGCAAATACACGAAAAGAACTTCCTGTTTTGCGGGAAGAACAAGTAATTGTTGAGGCGATCAACAATAGTTCTCGGACATGTGTTCTTATATGTGGTGAAACAGGAAGTGGGAAAACAACACAAATTCCCCAGTTTTTGTGGGAATGTGGGTATGGCGATGCAAAGGGTTCAGCCTTTGCAAGAGAAGGAGCTATACTTGTTACAGAACCTAGGCGCGTGGCTGCAGTTTCAATGGCAAAACGTGTTGCTGAAGAGTTAAATACTTCATTTGGAGGAATGGTGTGTTATCATGTGCGATATGATAACAATCTTTCCGATAATTTCAAAGTGAAGTTTGCTACTGAAGGCATTGTCTTAAAGGAGATTCAATCGGATTTTTTATTAACCAAATACAGTGTTGTGGTGGTGGATGAGGCGCATGAACGTAGTGTTGCAGGGGATATTTTGATTGGTCTTTTATCACGAATCGTACCATTAAGAAACGATCTTTACTTGGAGGAACTGAGAAAACATAAGGGTATAGCGTCAAAAGCGACGGTAAAACCTCTTAAATTAGTTATTATGTCTGCTACAATGAGAGTTTCCGATTTTAAAGAAAATCAGCGCCTTTTTCCTATTCCACCACCTTTAATAAATGTGGAGGCTCGTCGTTTTCCTGTAACGAATCATTTTGCAAAGAAGACCGAGTTAAAAAATTACCTTGATGAAGCATTTCGAAAAATTTGTCAAATACACAAGAAATTACCTCCCGGAGGAATTCTTACTTTTCTTTCTACACAGCAGGAAATCGAATCGCTATGTGGACGTCTCCGCGAACATTACACCAAGACGCGAATTGAATACTACGAAAAGGACTATTCAAAACATAGTTTGCTTCCTCACCGACGAGATGCGGGTAATGATGACATGGATTCGGATTCTGGGAAGGATGTGGCTGAAGCTTCTGATGCAAAGGACGAATTTGGTCTCGGTATTGAAGACTATGCATTGGAAAAACCAGTTGAAAACAACGATGCGCAGATTTTAGGAAAAAGGCTTAGAGATGCTACATATGAAGAAGAAGAGTGCTCCGAGGAAGATGAGGTTAATGGGGAGCTAAATTCATTACATATTCTTCCGCTTTATGCACTCATGGATTTTTCAAGGCAACAAGAAGTGTTTCAAGAACCTCCAAGAGGAAAACGACTTTGTATTATTGCTACGAATGTAGCTGAAACATCTATTACTATTCCAAATATTCGTTATGTGGTGGATACGGGTCGTGTGAAAACGAAGACTATAGATGAATCAACTGGAGCAAGCTGCTTTTGTATTACGTGGACAAGTCAAGCATCTGCAGAACAACGTAGTGGACGTGCAGGACGTATGGGGCCTGGACATTGTTACCGTTTATATAGCACGGCTGTGTATTCCAACATCATGCCAAAGCATAGCTCGCCTGAAATTTTGAGGACATCATTAGAATCAGTGGTATTGTTGATGAAGCACCTCGGTATTGATAATGTTGGGTCATTTCCTTTTCCTTCACCTCCAAAAGAAAATGACTTAAAACGCGCTTTAACGCATTTGACGCTTATTGGTGCTTTGGATCCCCATGGTGAACGACGTATTACCACGTTGGGTAAACGTTTGATGGCGTATCCGATTCCGCCTCGTTTTTCACGGGTACTTTTGGAAGCCTTGGACCGTAAACTTCCCGACTCCGTTCTCACCATGGTAATTATCATAGCAGCGGTTTACTCAACAACTACTAGTGTATTTACCGGTGAGGGAAATCGCTTGAAATGGAAAACAAATGATTCTAACAACCCGGATGATGACCGCCGATCCCTTGTATCCTCTTTGCTAAACCCTGGAAGCGATCTGATTACTTCTTTAAATGCCTTTGGAGTGTATTTAACTGATACTTCTTTAGGTAATTGCCATCGGTACTGTATGGTGCAAAAAAGTCTTTCAGAGGCCCGTCAACTGAAGCAGCAGTTGCAGGCATTAATGAGTCACGATAAAGTTGTGGAAGAAGTTGATGACACGCTGGATGTCAATGATATTGGAACAATGGACTCTGGGCCACACTTCAGTGATCATGGTTTGGTTAAACTCTCAAAGGAGCAGGAAATAAGCATAAGAAAATTGTTTATTTATGGACTTGTAGATCAAGTTGCCCGACGGGCAACAATTCAGGAGTGTCGCTACCACGGTGTAGAGTACAAAGATAACAAGGCAACGAAAGCTCCATATATTCTCTTGGGTCACTCCATGATTTCCTATATTCATCCAACAAGTTCTATAGCGCGAACATTTCCTCCTCCAGAGTATGTCACGTATGCTTTTTTGCAACGATCCGTACGCTCTGAAAGGAAGGAACATGCGACGATGATGCTAGGTTTAACCATTGTAACTAAAGAGTGGTTACATGATTGTGGTGTAATTCTCGAATAAACATGTTTTCCCCTCTAAATTCCTCTCAATAATGAAAATAATAATAATAAGTCAATAAATGAATATGTTAAAAGTTGTGTATATTTATATATTTATATATTTATATATTTATATATATTCTTTCTTCAAAGAATTCTTGGTTTTAGGGGGCGAATGAGCTCGGCAAACTCCATAGGTGGCCCACAGGGGCCCAAGGATCTTTTGGACGCAGTTAGACAGGCCGTGGTAAAGGGTGACATTGACACCTTGGTGCGTCTTAGACGAGAATTTTTAGCTGTCAGCGAAAATGTCTCCAAGTGTATTGATGAATCTGGAAATACGCTTGTTCATTTGTCGTTGGGCAAAAATACAACAATGTTGGCGTATACCGTTAATCAACTTTCAGGAAATGTCAATGCGGCCAACTTTCAAGGACGAACTCCGCTTCATGAAGCTGCTAGAAATAACTATGTCGAATGCTGTGAGGCTCTCTTAAATTATGGCGCTGACGACACTGTGCAGGCTGCAACACTTTCCACACCTTTTCACACTGCAGCTGCTTGCGGCAGTGTAGAATGTATGGAAATCTTGTTGAAGCGCAGTAATGACCCTGCCAGCAAGGTGAATGAGCTTGACAGAAATGAGTGTTCGGCACTTCACAAAAGCGCATCCGATGGTGATGTTCGTGTGACGCAGTGGTTAGTGGAACACGGCGCCTTTGTGGATCAACGGGACTTTAACAACACAACGCCTCTTCTGATGGCCGTGAAAATGGGCCGAAAAGAGGTGGTAGAATACTTGATTCATCAAGGGGCCGCCTGTGATCTTGCAGACAGGCAGGGCAATCGGCCGGTTCACTTCTGCGCTATTCGCTGCGATTCCAAAATTCTCAAACTTCTTGTGGATGCCAATGCCGCTGTAAACGTCCAAAATGGTGAATTGAACACACCTCTTCATCTTGCGGCTATTTATCAGCGGCCAAATTCAAAAGAGTGGGAGAATCTCATCGCATCTTTACTAGATTCGGGATGTGATCCTTTGCTGGAGAACGCTTCCCGTAAAAAGCCGGCGGATTACGTTGGGCGTAACCTGAAAAAACTTTTTTCAAAGGAAGAGGCAGAGATACGTCGGCAAATAAAAATACAGAAAGAGGCACAGGAGGAGGAGGACTTCAATAAATTATTGGAGTTACGCAGTACATGGAGAGCAACGGTCATGGCAAACTTGGAAAAGACGAAGCGCTTACAAAAAGATGAAGCGGATCGTTTGCACAGAGAGGCGGAGGAACGGCTTCGCGCTGAGGATGACGCACGTCTTCTTTTGGATGAGGCAATTGAGAGACGACGGTACCAAGAAGAACAGAGGAAAAAGCGACAGGACCTCGAAGAAAAGGGCAAAAACCCCGGCAGAAAGTAATCCGCATACACTAAGAAACCCCGCCCCAGGCTTCTATCTATTTTTTTTTTCTTGACTAGTTTCCATTGGCGGTGTGTGCTGTGTTTGTACTTCTTGTCCATTCGTATTGTATATGTAAACTACTGCAGTAACTCAGGGAGGTACTTTCTCACACCTCTTACTCTGGTGAGAGGAAGAGGATGGTTTGAGAGTTGTGCTGCTGTCTCTTCCACATGTTTATACATTTTAAAAGTGAGATGGGAAGGGATATATATATATATATATAAGTTTTCTTTCCACTTGTTTTTTGTTTTTGTTTTGTTGAATCTGTTTTTGTCAGTATGGTCTTCATTACACTCTCCTCAGCTCATTTCTGTACTGGGCGTGATTGCGGTGTGGGGGTGGCTGAGACCCTGGAAGAAGGGTAATTGGTAAGAACACGAGGAAGGAAATCGAAGCAAAAAAATATTATAATAATGAAGACACCAAATAAGGAACGTGACTTGGCCGGGACGGCGGCATTTGAGGTTGCTCTGCAGCACATTATGCTAAGACAGGATCGCTCTTATCACTTTGTTCAGCTTTTGAAGGCAGCTTGCTCGTTAGTTTTTCTGCTGGAGGGCTGCTTTGTCTTTCTTTTTACCGTGGTGTTGCCACTCTTGGCAATTGCACCAGAGGGATTTCTTGCCCGTCTTCTCGAGTACACATCTCCTCTTGTTGGGGTTCTATCGGCGGTGTGTTTAGTACTCTTGCATGTCTGCAACAGTCGGTACTTAATTGAGCCTGGTGAGCAACTTATGCATCGACTGAATGACGTCATATTGAAGCCTTGCTTAGGCATGCGTTTTGATTGCGTGACTGGAAAACTGATGGGCGATGAAATCTGGGCGGTGGATATGGATGCAATTGCGCAATCGGACTACAACAGCCAGACTTGAAAACTTGTAGTTTCAGAGCCTTCTATCTTGTTCTTCTTTGTTTCCCTTTCAGTGATTGTGTATGCATCCATGTTTACTCAAATTTTATTTTGTTCCTTATCTATTCTTCACCGTGGTCTTTTTCGCTGCCTATGCATATATATCGTGGTGCTCGTGGCATGCGTGGTTGTATGAAATATGCTCATTTGCATGTATTGCGGGTGTATATCCCTTTCTTTCTTTTGCTTCATATCTGTTTCTCATGTCGTTTAGAGTTTTGAATTATTATTAATATTGTTGTTATTATTTGTTAATTGAGATTTTCGTTTTGTCTCAATAAGGATGTGGCTTACATTGCTCTATTTGTGGGTTCTTTTAATTTCCTTCGCTGGGACAAACCATTGTGCGGGGCGACGCATCGTCGCTGTGGGAGATCTTCATGGCGATTTGAATCAGGCGCTTTCCATTTTGCACGTGGCTGGCTTGGTAAATAAACGTCAACACTGGACTGGAAAGGACGCCTACTTAGTGCAGCTTGGCGACGTCCTTGATGTTGGCCCGGACGATCTCACGATTGTGCGCCTGCTGATGAAGCTTGAAAAGGAGGCACAGGCCGAGGGTGGCAACGTTATTCAGCTTCTTGGTAATCACGAGATTCGAAATCTGCTTGGAGACTACAGTGCTGTGGACCGAGCAAGCCTAGCGCACTCCGGCGGTAAGCATGGGCGCACAGAGTCTCTCTCTAACAGAACTGCACTGGGAATGTATCTTCGCACACGAAAAGCAATCTTTCATCATAGGGAATTTCTTTTCATGCATGGTGGCTTTTCGACGGCTACAGGAAGGGCGATCGATGGGATTAAGGCTGTAAATAAATTCAATACAGCCATGCGTGACGCATTAGTCTACGATAAGCAGTCCAGCATGGGAAAGACGGCGCTTGATCTTGATGAGAAGAAGTACAGCAAAGTTGCGAATCCCATTCTTGTTCGTTCTATTTATAATGTCCGATGCTCCGAACTGAAGAAGGTTTTAACTAAGAAGTTTCCTGGAATAAAATCGGTGGTGGTGGGTCATGTGCCGCATAACTCACAGGATTTTTCAGACTGGCGTCTGTGTGGTGGACGTTTGATTGATATTGACTTTGGTTTGAGTCGTTGGAAAAAAGGCGATCCTGGCCATGTGGCCGCACTGGAGATCGAGGACACTACAGGACACGTTCAACTGCTGGAATCCACCGTGAAGTTTTTGAACTACGAGCCAGACGTGCACTCTTTTGCGGGACCCGACGTAAAACATTCACTTCCCTTTGTGCGTTTGGCAGTCATTGTTGTTTCATTAATTATTATCGTATGGTTTCTGGTAATGTGGCTATGTTCAAGAGTACGTAATAAACCGTTGTCAGCAGCATCACAGGAAGTCTATGACTCTGTTGCTCTCCGAGCTAATCTTTGAAAAAAGGAGCAACGAAAATCGCTTGCACTGGATGGAGTACGTTACGGTGGCATTTAAGAATAGTCTTAGAATGAGGGTTCTGGTGAGACAGAATATAAATGCCATAATTCCTAGGAACGGGACCCGAAACTGCGATGAAAAATGTCTAATTCTAACGTTTTATGCTTTTGTGTTAGAAAGTATTGATAGGTTTTGGATACATAGTGATGGTGCATGCAAACTTTACCATTCTTGTAAGATGCTTGCCACCATCCTTGCATCTGTTCTTTGGGGTGGGGGCGGGTGGCTGGGAAGTGAATAGAATACATTATGGGACCTTAGGGCGAAGGAAAAATAATGTGGACTATGAAAGGATGTCCATTAATTTCTCTAATTGGAACAGTTTGGTGTCACCAACATTGAATTCGTTTCAGTGAACGATGTCTAGACTCCGCTTCTTCCTCGGGAGGCCGTTTTTTTTTTTTTGTCATCTCATCCACATACACTATCCCGTAGATTTCAACTTCGTTACGGGTTCTTGGATCGTATTGGGGTTCCAAGGAGCCGCTCCTTTATTACAAAGGTGAGGCTAGCACATGCAAAGTTTGCGCATGCGATGTAATTGTTGATGTTGTCTATGCACTGACTGTTGACGCGATGGTTGGCGTGTGTGGACTGTGTTCTACCGCTGTTTTCATGTTTAGTTTTTGTTTTTGGTTTATTGGGCGACAACGCTTGAGCAACGTATTTATGACATATAATAGGTGGGTACAAGATTCCCCATCCAGCGTGTAGAAGGGCAAATAGAAACAGGCAACCAAACAGTCTTCTCACATATTCTTTTATGACAGGTGCTGCGCCAAGGGATGGACAGGAAGAACTTCATGCAACTAACTCCAGAGATGCATTTACGCTGACGCTTCTGAAACATGTGGCGAACAAGCTGGGCGTGCAGTACACGGGCAACGGTGTGGACACGAGTGACAGTATTGTTATGGATGAACTGGGGCATATAAAAGCTGAAATACGCTCGCGGGAACGTGTCTTGGGAATAGAGAATATGAGTCTCATTCCACTCTATGTCAAGGCGGGCGATTTGTCACCGACATCCGAGGATTCTCTCCGGTTTTACAAGAAGGCTATGGACGTCGTAGAGGCAAATAAGGAGCTTAAAAGACACTCTACTATGATGAAAGACGTTACTGTATCGAACTTTGCTGAACTTGGCTCACGCTTTTTTCGTTATGGGGAGTATCATCTGGCTGAAAAACTTTTCACAATGGCGGCATCTATTTGTCATGATAAATCGGCAGGTGCGTGCTGGGCGAATCCCTTCTCTACCGCACAATGCAAAAGTCCGAATGGTTTGCAGCGGCTACAAGGACACCTGTGGGATTGGCAAAAGAGTGCAGAGGCATCACAACAAAATTTATCGATACTTTTTTCCGGGACTATCCAGAGGCCACATCGGCAACAAGAAATGCGAGATGCATGCACTCAAACCGAGTTGACAGAATACAGAGCAACCACGCAGGCTGGTCAGGGAATGGGTACAGGGGATAAAATTCGGGAACTCAAAGGGGTTCGAAATGCGGAGAATCTGAAGCGACTTGTGGAGTACACCTTTGATCCATTAAATGGGGATGACGGATTTACTGGGCCGGTACTTCCGAAGAGTCGAACCACCATGACGCTTTTACAGTCTGAGCATGTTTCTGAACCGAGTTCTTTTCTAGCCTTGCAGGAGTCCATTGATCGCATTGCTTTGAGAGTTGATGGCAAATTTGACTCAATCAACGCCTCAGGCGTTACCCTGGGAAACGGGCTGCAACCACGATAGGTGCCTTGTGTTTGTGACTTTGATTAACAGTGGGGAGGTAGGGGCTACTTTCTTATATACGCGTTTATTGTTTATTTTGCTTTTTCTTTCACCCCCCCCCCCTCCCCCTTGTTGCTGCTGTTGTTATTTATCGCGTTTTATTGATTTATTGTTTTTATTTCCATATGTTTTTTCTTCTTCTGGAAGAAGATGCCGAAGAGACACAATGTTGTCGACCCCCTGGTGATAAATGACGAGAATGATCGCATTCTTGAGTTGTGGTTTCGCGCCCGGGCCTTGGCGGAGTTTTGTGAGCAGCATTCGCCGGCGGATCACCTTTTTGTTGCAAATATTGCCGGCCAGGAGGGCCGAAAAACTCTGGCGGGCGCGCTGGACTACGCGGAGCGTGTACCTGAGGACATCAATGTCTGTCTCTTTCGCCGGAAGCTGACCTTGTCGCTCCCATTTTTAGAGCAGCTTTGCAACACTTCTCACAGGGTGCAGTTGTACACTTGTCCACCGTCGCAAGAGAACCGGGACGGGGCTGCAGCTGTGGCTATCAAGCCTGGGAAAGCAGCGACCAAGAAAGACCGCGCGAGAAGAGAGGAGGAGTTGTTTGCAGTTGAAGACGCAGATCAACTCTTTTTGCTGAGCTTTGATCTCATTGATCTTTTAACGTCACCGTTGATGCAGCACTCGGTGTCTGTGCCACCGGAAGCTATGTTACAGGATTGCATTATTGAGCTTCGTTGCGGCACCCCGTTCTTGCCGCCTGCCAAACTAAATAAATACCGCCCGCTGAAAATTGAGGTTCGCACCATTTGTGATCTTCCCGGAACAGTGATTCAGCACGACTCACTTTTCGTGACGGTGCGGTTTGCCGGCTTCGAGCTTCAATCCCCCGAGCTGGAGGTGGCAGTTGACGGCAAAGTAACATTTCGTCGGGTGAAGTTTTTGGGGACACAGTCGCCTTTGGAAGTCTATCAGGACGTCTTCTTTCGAAGAATGGAGGTTTCTGTGTTTAGGGGAGCGAGGATGTGCTTGGGCACCGGGACGGTGCAGTTGCGTGCGGCCGCAACTGACCAACAATGCGAGTTTAGCGAACTGGTGTTTCTTTTGCCTAGTCGCACCACCATTACTCGGGACAACAATTGTCTCACACAAGGGACGACAGTTTCCCTGCACGTGGATTTTTTCATCCCACTGCCTCGTCCAGTGCATGTCTTAAGCGATGGTCAGCCTGCACACGGTCATTTTCTCACTCGTGGTGTTATACGAATGCCGTACATGGCGAAATGGGTGCCCAGTGTGTTAGAGGCCTTTATCGCCGCAACTCTGCAACTGAAGAAGGCAGGTGAGGGGAGCAACATTTATCAGTATGAGTTACCTGAACCAGAGCCCGAGGTTCTACCTGTAAAAGAAAAGAAGAAAGAAAGTGCCAAATCTCACAAGGCTCAGTCGGTGCCTCCCCCTCGTCCACCTTCACCACCATCAGCGTTTGAGACTCAATTTAAGATTGTGTCACCGCCTGGCATTAGTGGGTTTGAGGTGATGGACGATAACGTACGGATCATTTGCATAGAGGGTCTAGCTGTGGAAGTCCATAAAGTTTTTCAACGGCTAAATGATGTAGCCGGCCACAACCCCCAGTTAGAGCTGCTGATGAATGCCGAGTTATTTGTGCCTAGTCGCGCCTACACCGTTTTTCCACCACTTGTAACACTACCAAAAATAGTTAATGCCGATACGTTGAAAATGGGTATTGAAAATGGAATAGACTCTGCCGATGAGGCAGTGCTCATGAACGTTAGTGAAGGTCATGTTTTGGGTAAAGTACCAGTCGGGGCTGCGTCTGAGGTCCTTGCCATGCCTTTATCTGTGTCTTGTAAAAGGCCCACAGAAAGTTCAGGAGACGTGTTTGACGCTGCTGAAGCAGAGGGTGGTGGTACAGGAGGCCGCATTCATCGCATACGCATTAGAGAAACTATTGGATCCCTTGCATCACAGCAACGCTATCTACTACGAAGGATGCTTTCTGAAGTTTGCATTAGCTGCTACACAAAGCTTCGTGCGATATGTGAGTGTTCGTCACTTCGTACTATTCTTGAACGAGACTTATTTCCAACTTCAGAGGAGCTCATAGCGCTGGAGCGATCTTTTGGTGTTGCATTGGAACTTTGTGATGTGTTTGGAAAACAAGAGTTTGTCAGTGTGTTACTGAAGGAGGAGGCTGTCAGTTTTTCAAATTCTACGACTGTAGTATCGATAGAAAGCTCTTGTTTACCTGTTAGACTGAACGCGTTGCAATCGACGGATGTTGGTAAGATGGTTTCCTTTGAGGCTACCAAAGTGATGTCTTCCAGACGACGGATTCCTGCATGTGTGCAGCAGCGGTATCCAGGCGCGTGTTGGTTGGTCACGACTGACACCAACACTAAGGTTCTGTGTGCCTTTTCCGTTGGTGCTCAACCCAAGGATACAATTCGCTATTTTGTGGAGGCGCAAGTAGTACGATGTGGCGATATGTTTTGCCTGTATCCCTTGGCTTGCGACTCACTCGCAAAAAGTTACACGGATTCACGCAATCCGGTATATGAGACTTACCTTAAGGCATTGCGAACACAACAGATGCAGATCTATTCAAATAAGGAACAGAGGACATTGTTAACTTCGACACCCTCTATCATCGGCAACGGACCCCTTAGTGATGAATCTGACAGTAGTAAAGACAGTGATGTCTTAGTGAACCCTCTACCACGTGAAGTGCCTGCGATCTCACACCCCGTTATGACGGTTAGGAAGGACATGATCGATAAAAGCCAAAGACACGTTCAGTTAAGAGCCAAGAAAGTGCCAAGGCTGACAGCAGCTGACTATGCACTATGTTGGGAGTTGTATCGGCAGAGGGCCCCCACTGTTTCCTCGAAGCCACCCAAAGGCCCACCGATGCACTTTTAAACTTACGTGAAGAGAAGAAGGTGCTAGTGATATGCCCTCAAGTTGTATTTATATAATATATATGCCAATATGTGTTTTGGTGTATTGACCAATTGATGTACAATTGACGGCAAAGCATGCCGTGCGACAACCTACCTTTTTTTTTTTTTTCTTCCCGACAGAGTCAAAGTGTTGTGACTTTGGTCAACGAGGTGTCGCTTGCCTCGAAAATGAGGAAAACTATGTCTTGAAAGGCTAATAATAATGTGATTACTATTTTTTGTTTTTTGTTTTTGCTCTCTTTCGTTCGCGCTTGCTCCCCTTATTCTTGAGAAGGAGAATAACGGAAAGAAACAAATTCAGTGTTTACTGGGCATCAAACAGGTGTGGTGGGGAAGCAATGAAGATTATCCTGCGAAACATTATGGGAAAGGAACAGACGCAGGAGGTAACACCAGATACGAATGTGGAACTCATTAAGCAACGTCTGGAGGGTGAATACGATATGGATAGTTTGCATTTGTGCCACAAGGGTAATGTACTTGACAATGCAAAGACAATGGCAGAGCTGGGCGTGGAGGAGAATGCGGTTTTTATCGTCGCAGGGAAAAAACGCAGTAAAAAAAATCCTCAACCCAAACCAACGCCATCCGCCCCACTTCCAGAGACAAAAACACCTCTTTTGGTTGAGTCGACTTCGGTTGAAGCGGGATTGAATGAAGTCGCAAAAACTGACTCTGCAACGACTGGAGCAGGAGAGACGCCTGGTGGAACCACTGTGCCATCTCCAGTGATAGAGTCATCTTCGACAGCAGCAGTAACAGCAGCAGCGCCTTCGCAGGGTTTGGCCTCACACGGTGTTGATCCCACTCTCATCGACAGCATCGTTGCCATGGGGTTTGAGGACCGTGAACATGTGGCGTTGGCATTACGAGCTGCGTACATGAACCCTGATCGTGCTGTTGAGTTTCTCTGCACAGGGATCCCATCCAATGTTTTGCAGCGGTTGAATGAACCTTTTATGGCACCGTCTGCAGGCCCCGAGCAGATTTCGGAGGCGACAGATCGGCTACCGTTGCACATGCGTCAGGGCGCCAGTGGCTCCGCTCTTTACAACGCCTTAATGCAAATTCCACAGTTTGGGGAAATACGCTCAATAGTACAGACCAATCCGGAGTCGCTTCCCACCGTCATACAGCAGCTCCATATGCACCACCCTGAGGTGGTTGGGTTGATCCAGCAGGATCCAGATGAGTTTTTGCAGATCATGGGAATTCGTGGCCAGGCAGATTTCACAACCAGCAGCAGCGGTGATGGTGATGGTGGTGGTGACGTCCTCACTGAACCTGTTGTGGTTCCACTGAGAGAAGGGGAACGTGTCGTGATTGACCGTCTTGTTGAATTGGGTGGTGGTGCATGGACTGAGCAGGACGCGCTTGAGGCTTATCGTGCATGTGAAGAGAGCGAGGAGGCCGCGGCTCATCTACTTTTCAGTAACTTCTTTGAATAAAACAATTGATGTTTGGCTACGACACTTGCGGCGCAACACAGCTACACCATTAATGATGATGAAAACGCAGACGAGGAAACCGGAATGTATATATATATATATATACATACAAATGCCAGGACGAAGAAAAAGGTGGAATATATGAGAACAGAATTAAATGAAAAAGGAACTCTTGTATCGTATGCACCATGCGAAATGCAGAAAAGGAAGAGGGGTGAGTATTTATGAGATGATTTCACTTGAAGCCTTAGTGATGGTTGCATTGATTGGGTTCTGGCTTATGCTTGCGCTATGAAGCCGGTGTATTTATTACTTCTTGAGCGTTTTTGAGTTATTGCTTTTTGTTTTTGTTTTATTCGTCTTTCTCTCACTTTATCATTGGTGTCAATTGTGGAGGTTGCGTGCGTATCCGGCAAGTGAAAGACTGGGCAGCGTCGTGGCTTCTATTCCTCAGATGTATCTGAGGTGAACGCTCTTCTGCAGGAATCGTTGAAGCGGTCTGTGTTTATGTACTTGTATTTTGTTCCTTTTTTTTTTGCGTGTTTTGTGATGGTCGCGTTTGTGTTGCTTTTTTTTTATGCAGCTTTTTTTTTCTTTTTGTGCTCTTAGTTGGGGATATTATTATCTCCCCTAGCATTTGGTTTGGGCCGCAATGGATTTGGACACCAGTTCCGAGAGGCGGCTAGGCACTACTTTTGCTCGACAACTTTTACGGCATGGGCGCATATATGCACGTGTGGCGACACTGGAAGGTAGTCAACTCTGACGCACACTTGGGCTGAGGTTGCTTGTGAGTCTTGGCGTTGGAGCAATTGCTGGAGCTGGTGTTTTTTGTGACCACGGGACAAGCTACGGCAGTCTACGCCGGGCCCGCGCTTGCCGTCCCCATTTGTGTGTCTTGCCTTGTCTTTTCACAGCTATGTGCCATGTGTAGTTGACAGCAATGGTTCCTATGACGGGTGGTGCCTTTACTCATACGGCTGTGGCGCCTGGAGAGTTTGCGTCGTGGATAGTTGCGATATGCCTGGTCTCTGGCTACGCCGTGTCAGTAAGTTGGTCTTATAGCGTTCAGACTTTTTTTCGAGAGTTTTCTATTGTGTTCTCACCAGCTTTTGGGGTTTCACCGATTGGTGTCTCCGGTGACAGCCTCATCCTTACAGGGGGAACTATGTTAACCCCCCGGCGATGTTTTGAACGTCGATCTGTTCCATTGTGTTGTGCGTGGGGATTCCTGAGACCGCCACTGTAAACATATTTTTCGTTATTCTTAAGCTCTTGGTACTTGGCAGTTTTTGTACTACACAGAGTCTATTTCGCATTTACTCATTGGGAGGACTTCAAGTTTAGTCTCGCCCCGTTTGTGTGCCTTCCAGCAGTGGCGAGTTTGGAAGGTACGGTGCGAGCGGGATTCTTTGTGGGGCGGGCATTGTTCCCCCCATGTGGGGTTTGACACCATGCGCGCGAGTGCTCAGTATTGCTGAAATCCACGGCGGGACCTTTTACGCGGTGTCATCTATACATTAGTAATACATTCTGGTCTCTATGTTCTTGTCACGCTTACACTGACCGAAGTGGCGAAATACACTGCGATGAACAGCGATGCGTCTATGGTTATGGTATTTGACAGTGTTGGGGCACCATCTTTTTTTTCGACTTCTTGTGGACATTGGCACAATATCAAGTCTGAGTTCAGTGTGCTTTGCCTGCCTATTTGCGATGCCTCGCCTTACAATGAGCTTAGCCTAGGGTGGACTGTTGCCACCTATGTTTTCTCATATCGATGCCAGATGTCAACCCCCCGTGAGTGCCAAGATTCTTTGTGGTGTGGTTGGCGCCGTCATCAGTGGACTGTTTTCACTGGAAGTCCTTGACGAGCTCATTTCATTTGGCACGTTGATGTTTTTCAGCTGCGTGTGTGTTTCCATGTGGAAGATTCAGGTGGATTTTCCGGGTTTTCCGAGACCGTTTGTGGGCCCACCTTTCCCTTTTGTGCCTTTCCTTAGGGTGATGCCTAATTGTTTGCAATTTTTTTTTTTTTCTGCTACTGGCGACCTTCCGCAGCAAACGTCATTGTAGTGACAATTTCAATCTCTTGGTACTTCTTCTACGGGGTTAACCATAGCAAGCTACACGCATCTGATACTTTGTCCTGGGGCGTTTGTGTTTCCACCAAAAATGGGGCCCCACCGCACCTACGCGGGGAGGGAAGAACGGAAAAGGCTTGCTCCTTCCCAGGCGTGGAGTTTGGAGCCAACTGACTGACTACAACATTGTAGCCTTTCATACGTTGTGTGCTTTTTTAGTGTGTTTTCTCTCAACCAGATGAAAAGAAACTGACAAATCAAACGATGGGGAGTGAAATGATTGAACGGTTTTGTTTATTTTGGTGCTTTGCTTGTTTCCTTCTAACGTCACTACCATACGGTGAAGTTGACGTCTGATTTAATCCGCTTTTTCCCCTTTTTTTTTTTTTGTGTGTGTGCTCCTTCTCTGTTTTTTATTTACTCCTCCAGTTGGGTAGAAAACACCGTAAGGGTACATCTCATAATATAATATATATAATTTTGTATTCATTTCTTCATACACATATAAAGCCTTACACATTCTTTTTTATCTTTAACTTTATTTTTGTCCTGAGCGAAGCATACAAAGCAGGAGCGATGATCTACTCTGGCGAGATAGAGAACGGCCAGATGCATGGTCGTGGGTGTCTCCAGTACCCAAACAATGAAACGTACGATGGTGAATGGGTCTTTGGCAAGCGCCACGGTCATGGAGTGTACGCATACGTTGATGGTAGCCGCTACGATGGTGAATGGGTCGAGGACAGAGTGCATGGCAAGGGAACATGCTACTATGCCAGCGGAAACAAATATTCTGGGGATTGGGCCTTTGGTCGCATCAATGGTCGAGGCATTCTCGAGTACCACGATGGGGATCGCTACGAAGGGGAATGGAAGGATGGGCGTATGCATGGTAAAGGCACCTACTGTTACTCAAATGGCGACCGATACGATGGCGAATGGAAGGATGACAAGCGCCATGGTAAAGGCGTTGTCGTTTACGCAGCAGCTGACGGTTCTGTTTCCGAAAAATACGACGGTGAGTGGGTCGATGGCCGCATGCAGGGATGGGGAAAGTACTTTTATGCTGATGGTGGTGTTTACGAAGGGGAATGGAACGATGGCCGGATGCATGGACGAGGAACGTACGTTTTTCCCAATGGTAACAAGTATGAGGGTGAATGGGTGGAGGACCGAAAACACGGATATGGGATTCTCGTGTATGTCAATGGGGAGCGATATGAAGGGTACTGGCAATTTGACAGGGCCCATGGCAAAGGAACCTTGATGTATCTCCAAGGAGATCGTTACGTTGGAGAGTGGTCGAATGGAAAGAAACATGGCCGGGGTGTTCTCACTTATAGTAATGGTGACATCTACGACGGGGAGTGGCGCGACGACAATGCGTCAGGCTATGGTGTTCTTGAGTACGCAAATGGCTGCCGGTATGAAGGTGAGTGGGAGGAAGACCACCGACACGGTCAAGGAGTACTACAACTTCCTGATGGTTCCAGCTATGAAGGAGGATTTTCACACGGTAAAAAAGATGGAAGTGGCCGAATTATCCTCAAGGATGGATCAATGTACATTGGTACATGGAAAGATGGAAATATCGTGGGACAAGGCGAGTTCAGACTCTCTGAGAGCTGTGATCTCAGCAATCCAGATTACTGAGAGCTTTGTATAGATTTTTTATCTGTTTTTGGTTTTGATACTTCTTTGTTAATTGGTTTGTTTCATTCTTTTTCCATTTTGGCGAATTACAATCCGGGATTACTCGCACCTTTCGAACCATCCTCTTCGTCCTCGTTTCACCACGCCGCATCCTTCTCACCCACCGCATTTTTTGCCCTACCATTTTTTTTTTTTTTAGATGACTTCTGGTTTTTTCCCTTCCCTGCTTGTCTGCTTTTTTTCAACTTTATTCTATGAAGGAAAATATGTGTACCAGAAACGAAGTGGGGGTTAGAATGGATTGGGGAAAACGTGAACCTGAGCTGGAGGTAGTAGTAGTGGTGGCGTTGTGGGGAGGGAGTAGGGGACGAACAGCTGTAGTCAGAGCAGCAGGAGCAGGGGTGACAGTAACGAACACGCTTAGGGTATCGTGAGCAATAACACTTTGTTGAGGCACCGGGTGGTGGTGTGTATGAGTGTGTAGATGAACACCAGTATAGTGTGTCCGCTGGTTTGTGTACTTGTTAGAGAGCCACACAAGATGAGAAGGAGGGGGTGGAGTTGATGCATCTCCCCTTCCTCGTTTTAACCTTACTTTCATGTACGACTTACCGTTGTCCCAGATTCTTTTTTTAATTGATTTTAGTGGAGCAGCGTAGAGGTTGTATTTTCAATAAGGTGTATCTTTTTCTCTGGCCGTTTTTTCGCCGCTTTATGCGCATGCGGGTGTGAATGTAGGAGGGGCACATTCGCGCGAATTGTGTTGCCTAACATGGGACTTTTTTTTTCAACTCTGACTGCCTTGTTTTTCGTTACGAAGGCCGAGCTAGCGCTTAGTTTCAGAACGAAGTAGATTATCTGCAAGAAAACAGATTTTTTTTTTTGGTTTAAGAAAAAGGGAGACCAGCGTGAAGTTGCGCCTGGCTTTATTGTTACGTAGTCGCTATTATTGTTTTTCGTTATCGTACCCGTTTGTTTTGCGGTCACACAGACGCAAATAGGCACATGGAGGCTATCAAGGGCTTGGCGCGCCGCACAACGCAGAGCTTTAGGGAAAAGGTCTCACAGAGAGACGCATTGGACCGCGATGAGTCGCTGGACGTGGCCAGCAAAAAAGTTCTCCAGTACCAGAAGTTCAGTCAGGTCGTTTGCATCAAATTAATACGTGCCGCAGAACTTATTGAGGAGTTGTGCAAAATTCTGAAAGATGTTGGGCAAGAGTACCAAAACGTTCCTGATTTGCAGCCGGAGTCGAATCAACTTGCGGCAGATGTTTTGGACGTGGGCACAAAACTATTTGCCACGGCACAGGAGCACCAAAAAGGCCTCAAAGAGCAGGGCTTTGATGTATTGAATTCCTTTATTAAGAACATCAGTAAGCTGAAGGATGCGGAGGAGGCCCGCCGCAAGAACCAGCTAGAGTACGACTTTTTCCGTCAAAAAGTGCTGGGACTTCGAGCTATGCCGCCTAAAGACAAGTCACGCATTCCACGAAATGAACAAAAGTTGGAAAACTGGCGTGCAGAGTTTTGGAGGGCCACTGAAAACAACAAGGTTGTCTGCTCCCAGCTCTATGCCGAGGGCCAACGCGCCATTGATCTTAGTGTGTTGACCCTTACAAAGGTTCTTGGGAGTTTCCTCAGCATTGCTGGGAATGGCTTTAAGCAACAGTTTGCCAACGCACGGTTGCCAGTGTATCCAACGACACCGCTCTTACCCCCAGCGCCGCTTCCACCAAATCCGATGCCTCCATATCAGCCGCCGCCCCAAGCAGGGGGCTATGCTACAATTCCGTACGGGCAGCCGCAACAGCAGCAGGACTGGATGCAGGGTCAGCAACCGCAGCCGCAACAGTGGCAGGGGTGGTATGGTGGTCACCCCCCAGGTTGGTCGCAGCGGCATCCACAGCCGCCGCAACCAGCCTCACTCCAACCACATTTATCCGAACCTCAGGTGCCAGGGGGCCAGCCACTGCCTTCAGTGCAGTCGACGGGTGAAACGTGGCATGTGCCAGAAGGGCAGCAGCAACAGCAAGGCTGGAATTTTCCAGCACAGAACACATCATCTGTTGCTGGGTTTCAGGCTCCCCCAAACAATTCTTGCTCACTAGGCCCTGCCTTTACGACGCCACCCAAAGATAACGGCAACGGTATTGAGGCACCTGCGCTATCTTAACCATTTCCAGGATCGGTGAATGGAAATTTGTGGTTCTTACCGTTACTGCTATTATTCTTTTTTTTTTTCTGTTTTTGTTCCTTGTTTGCTCTTGTTTTGACTGCCATTTTATTCCTCGATGCTGCGCAGAGCAAATGTGGGGGAAAGCCTGGAAGCGACACACTGACTTTTGATTGTAGTTCGCATCTTCTAATACAAGAAAACGAGGAGGAAGGGCGAGAGGACTCTGGCATTTTTTTTTTAATTGCGTTAAACTATTATTATTATTGTTGTCTGTAGTGATTGTATTGTTATTATTGTGGGTGGATACAGACGCTTCTAGATGCCTCGTAGACAATCATGTGTTGATTCTGGCCGTGCGTTCATAGGGGGCAAAGCCGGGCCACGGTCTCGCTTTTAGCGAAATTCCTTTCTGCGTGCTGTGCTCGGGAAAAATAAGTACATGCTGCATGAAATTGACGACCTTTGTAACAAGGCGGAAATACAATCCCATGAACTTCTGCCCGTGAAAGGGCGCATACACAAGTTGGAAGCACAGCTTGCGGGGCCCGAGGCTGCTAAGCCTACAGTGTATGAAAAGACCAATGATGCTAATGCTGTTTCAGATGGCAGGGCTGGTATTTTGCGTTCCATATCAAGAACGATTTCCGCATATCACTTTGGTAACTGCTACGCACGCATACTTCCCCGCAACCAACGGCAGATTGCGAAGCCAGCTAAAACTCCCCAAGCTCTCAAATACAAATATAAACAATTGTATGCCCTTATGGATAAAGGAGGGGGGGGGGGGGGAGCATGGTGCGACATTCGTTTCGTGAATCAAACCATCGCTTTGATGTGGTGTATTATCTTCTTCGGTCTTACCAAGAGACGCCGAGTTTTTCAGTGGCCGAGTACGATGACTTGGCTGGCTATTATGTGTATGGTGGAAATTATTTATCTGTTAAAGTCGAGTAATGTCATGATACTTGAGGAGTATGAGTTTCTTGCAGCAAAGGAAAGGTAAAGCATTGCTGCTCGGGGTGGGGGCGGGGGGAGCTTCATGGTGGTGACCCCTTCGCAGCAGTAATCCCTCATTATTTTAATTTTTGCACTCACCTGCTTTCATCTATCGCACAGGATATAAGACACATGCGTGCCCATTTTCACGTTGTTTTCATCTTTTTTTTTGCATGTTTTGTTGTATTTCTTTTCTCTTTTTATTTTTTTCCTGATTTTCCGTAAACAACACAAAAAATTATATATTTACTTAAAGGCAAAGGGAAACTATGAAAATCAGGGCGCAGGATCGCATCACTTTCCCGGAGGGCGTTGAGGTGTCCGTAAAGGACCGCGTCGTCACCGTCAAGGGTAAGCGCGGCACACTCACAAAGGACCTCCGTCACCTGCAGCTGGACTTCCGTGTGAACAAGAAGTTCCGCACCTTCACCGCCGTCCGTTGGTTTGGCACAAAGATCAATAACTCCACCATCAACACGGCACTGTCGCACGTGCGCAACATGTTCACGGGTGTGACAAAGGGCTTCCGCTTCAAGATTCGATTTGCCTACGCGCACTTTCCCATCTCCGTCTCTGTGGAGAATCAGCTTGTGGAGATCCGCAACTTCCTTGGGGAGAAACGTGTTCGCCGGCAGCTCATATCCGATAGCGTCAAGGTCTACCGCACAGACCCCTCCATTGTGAAGGACGAACTTGTGCTGGAGGGCAATGACCTGGAGGAAGTCTCGCGCGAGGCCGCCGTGATGCATCAGCTTTGCCTGGT